AATTAAAATAATAACGAAAATATAAGCCATTTTCTTCAGGTGAAAAGGCCTTTTATTCTTGTTGATGGCTAAGTGGTGAGTGGAAAATGAAGTCACATCATTACAAAATGTAAATGTCAGGTCAAAGTTGCAACACGACTGTCGATCCAAGACCTCAGTTCTCTGCTCAGATTGTTATCTGACTCTAGGCAGCTCAGTAATTAACAGCTAAAAGGTTCATATTAGGCTTCTGCTATTTCCTTAATATTTTTGAAAAAGTGTTCTGAATCGATTCCCTCTTAGTGTTTCCAGATGTACTTCCATTAAATTGTCAAGTGTATTTAAAGCAAACCTTTAAAATGTAGACGAAAAGGAAACGTATAATGGTCCTGTTTCTACCAGCTGGTTTGGAGTAAATTATCTCGGCTACAGTATAGTTTGTGGTTTAGGCTACATACTGCTCTGATCCACCAGTAAACAATGTACTAGTTAGAAGAACTAGAGGTTACATACCAGGAACAATACATATACAAAAGCCTTTTCTGATCTAATGCAGCAAACCTAGTTGGTAAGGTATGAGAAAAGATCTGGGTTTAAATCAACCCTCTCTGGCTAAAAGCCTGTCAAACCCTTCTCCCTTGTACAGATTTATTGAATGTTTTTCCAGTTTCTGTAACCATTATTTTTTTATGTGCATAAAATAATAAATCTGCATGGCCAATGTTTTCAAGATGGAGTAGAATATATATAGTTAGAATTCCCAAACTGTTTGAAGTCATGGCCCCATTAATATTATTTTTTTCATGGCATACCTCACTCCAAACGAAACCAGGCTTACAGCACACTTTTGTATTCATGCACCGTTTTTAGCTCACAATTACCTTGTCTATCTAATATCATTCACATAATCCATCCTTCGTTCTCTGTATTTAACCCTGAACAAAAAAACTCTATCAAAGCAACATTTACTGCAGAACTTTAAAAGGTTTGTGATGTTATTTTTTTTTCAATTGAAAAAATTCAATTTGTAAAAATGCATCTTAAATAACTGCATTAATGGTTTTAGACTATTTTTGATTGATGTCTTCTGTGCTACACACATCCTTCCTGCTGTGCCTACACTGTTTTCCATGGGGACGTCCGTCATCTAAATCAAGTTCCACTTTTGCATCTTTTGAACAACTTACTACTTACTTGCAGCGAAGGTGCATTTACAATTCTTCTTTTCCAGCTATACCATGTCAAATTGATTAGCCTTTTCTATTATTACAGTCGAATAATCTGTTGTCCATGTCACAAATCCTTGCCTGAAGTATGACGATAGAAAAATAAGAAACTTATCGTAACAAAACACTTTTGGGGAATAATGAGATACCAACATAATTAATTCACAACCTTCAGATAACAATTTGAAAAAAACAATCCCAACTGTTCATGAGCACATATAACATGTGCATAGAGGCCAGAAACTCTTCTTGCAGCTCAATGCTCCTTAACAGAACCCTCCTGAAGTGGGCAAACATACCTGATAAAAACTGTATGAAACCTGTCTAACTGATGTTGAAGACAAGGTCAAGAAAATGACAAGTGGACCTTGCCTAAAGGTAACTGTGAAACACCCTTGCAAAAATATAGACTCCTCGTCCTCAACAGAAGAGTTTTGTCAAAGTAGAAGTGGCCAGTATCATAGTTATTGCATTTTTTATTTTTATTACTTTGTCACCTCCAATTTCGAAGAAAAAGCACAATATATCCGGTAATCTAAAGTAACACTTTATTTTTGCTGCAGAGTGGGGGAGTGTAATTACCCTTTTAAAGAGAAATGTGAAATGGATTATTGAATAAAATTGTCAAGTTACCTGGAAAACACTGAAAAATAGGGGAAATGAGATAACCACTGTGTCAACCGGCTTTATTTTAAACAGTAGGCTAGGCATGGTTCAGTTGGAATACCAGAGGTAGAAGCAAATCCCATCCCAATCCCTGTTTGCAGAACACCTGTGCACACCTTGGAGGTCGAGGCTCCGCCCCCTGTGATCTACAGCTTACGTTGCTGAATTTAGTACTGAAAGGTTTACAAGTAGATAGCACACAATAAATGAGTGGTTCACAGCGTATACGGTCACAAAACAAATACAAACAAGGAGCACCAAATAGTTGTATCATTTTCATCGCGCAAATGGAGCTTTAAGAGGGAACAGGTTGTTTTTGAACTCCTGCAACTGCAAGTGAACCGTGTTCCTCTACACCGAAAGCCAAAACGAGTTTTCTCTGCATGAATAATCGAGCGCATATCTAAACTCTCAATACGTCTCCAACACTCTTCAAAAATGTCGTTCATGGACTTCATGTCGTTCTTGTTTCTTGTTCTTTTGGGTTTGTATCCTTATGGTTGAAATGCAATTATTGTCTTATAAATCGCTTTGGATAAAAGCGTCACCTAGATGACACGTAATGTGTTTCTCAAACAACCTTGTGTTCTTTTTCTCAAGACAGTGAGGTATATTTAAAACAAATTGTGATGGTAATCATTCTGAAGGCCAATTACGGTGGTAAGTGGTTTTCTGGTCATGGAAATTCTGTGCTCACGACCTGTAGCTGCAGTCCTTCATGTTCAGCAAAAGGCATTTTTTATTATCTGAAATCACACTGAGCAGAATATTGTGTCACATCAAAGCAGGTGTTTGTGTCATTAATTCAGCTCTTGTTGATATCAAATCGTGACAACCACTATGTAGTCAAAATATATTAGGTTTTTACTTATGACTTAAAATTCTCCAACCTTTGAAAATAAATGATTCAAAAGTAAATTACCTAATTTTAGAAAGCTGAACCAAATTGTCGGGCAGGGTGTGACGTTATCTCATTCAAAACAGCCCTGATATTACGAGGGCATCTGTCTCAATCTTTGTCCACTACCCAAAATAATATTGAACCACAGAGATATTATATATCCTGTTCTATTGAGTTTAAACTAACTCAACACACACCCGCCTCATTGGCATACAGTGATCTGGAATTAAAAAAAGAATAAAAAATATCACACATTTGCCCCAAAAGCCAAACATGAGACATCGGCTCAATCAGATGGAGAACAGTACATTACAACTTAGAAGTCAGGGCTCCGCAGATATAGAACTGCATAATTTGTACTGTAATGAGGACACATTTTCAAAGGTTTTAAAGTCTGTGTTATTCAACAGTTGTGAACCAGGCCTGAAAAGGATGATCCACATCAGGTCTGAAAGTATGGAATGTTTCCAACAGATGAAAACCTTTTGGTTCAAACATGGAATGGAAAAAATGAAAGCCATTGAGCTGATTCACCCAATGTCACTTCTTTGTCCCAGTTCCGTGTCGCGGTTTGAGTTCATTCAACGAATTCGGCTAGTTTCTTCTTTCTTACATGTTCTTTTGACCAGGAAATATCATCACAAAAAAGAAAATCGTGAATCATCTCCACCTGTTGGTAGAGGCCAAAGGTACTAGTTATTTCTATCACACACCTGCCAATCTTTTTGAAAATGTTTTTGAGGTACCATCTTGAGCAGCTGAGGAATGCTCATGCATTACATCTGGCACATTTCGTGTTCTCTTGTCAAATTAAGCCAAACTATCACAGCATTCATGCAGCCAGCGTTTGTAGCTTTAGCTAATAACACAAATCAAAGCACTGTAATTCAAAGATACTCCATTAAATCTGTTCATATGTAATCCACATAATCATGAACAAGGAAGCATTAAGACCTCGGAAACCACACAGGGTGGTTGAGAAAGGTGGATGAGTTTAATTACCATATAACATTTTCTGGGGGAGAGAGGGGGGAGTTCTTGCCTTTCACTGTAAAGTGTCTTTGGGTACCCAGAAAAGTGCTATAAAAAACTAAAGTATTATTATAACATCCAGCCTTAACCCCGCTGCCCTGATTCATTTTGACCCAATCCATGAAAACACTGTAGTTGTGATGCTTAAAGTTAAATATGTTGTTCAGTGTGAAGTTTCTTTTCAAAAGATGCATCCTGCACAAAAAAGGAGGAGTAACTTGTCAATAAGATATGACAACCATTGTGGGACACACAGAATGTACTCTACCCTTTCATTTTTCGATTTGATGCTATAAGTAGACTACAATTATCAGAACAATAGAAACATTTGGCTTCCTTATATGGCTTAAAAGTACGTTACGAATCAAATTACTGGATTAATCACCTTCAGCGGATTTATTCTGCACAATAACGTCGTCTGACCCCCACCGAGGGTTCCGTGTCTAGTCAAATGAGAAGTCACAAAATGATGTGGTCCTTTTGCAGATAAAACCGATGTTAATTTAGTTTTGAGAGTCTGCATTTATGGTTTATTTAACCTTTGCAGGAACATGGAAATAGATTGAGGTTATTAGTCCGCAAACTCCCCTCTGAATATGCTCGTGATCTGAGGATATAATGAAGATGAGGCAAAGGGAAACTTGGTTCCTCACATCCTCTGGTGGACAAAATTATACGAGCACCATTTAGTTCCTCAACCCAGTTCGCTTCAAGCTGAAAGTAATGTCATGCTATTTACAGAAAATGTTGGTTTTGAACTTGAGGTCTCAAACCATTTTGTTTTGTTACAGGACAATATTGGCACTTAATGTTGAATTGAATGTATCTTCTTTCTCTAAATATGCAGGGGCTACAGTCTTTTATCTAAACAGTATTGAATGCAAGGAGAAAATATTTTTTATTTCCTAACTAACTATATTCCCTTGTGTTCTTCGGATGTGCAAGATCTAAGTGCCTTCCGGACCTCAGAGTCTTTCTTTCTGCCTCTATTCCATTACGTTATGCTGTAATGGAATGAATGCAATAAGGATGACAGCGTTACCACATCGCCCAGTTGATACTCAGCCGATCAGACACACGTCGATTCACACATTTGACCTGTACTGTAGTGCGTTTGTGCTGTTGTGGCTTTTCCCTCGTGATGACAACACCTTATATGATGACAACACCTTATAGGTCCGTCCGTCAGCCAATCGCATCGCTCTAAAAGGAAAAAAAGAAAAACAGCGCGTGAGTTCACTACGCGTCTCTACTGCGCAGACTCACTCAGAGTCTCGCTTCCCACAGAGGATTTCTAGTCTCCTTATAAAGGTAATTCAAATCACACTCTTTTGAATAATTTCTAGTCTTGTCAAGGTTTAAGTAACCTCCGTGTCGTTCACCGCCTGTGCGTGAATTGTCATTTTTTTTGCGACTATTTTGCCTTTGACGTTAACTGTTAACGTTACTTGTGTTGTTATGCTAGCCGGTGACTGTTAGCTAATCTAGCTAACATCACCAAGTAGCGACGTTCGTTAGCTCGGCACCTTCCACTGAAACTAACGTCACGTCAGCTTTCGTTTCACTCGGCACCACCTGTCTCTGTACCGTGCTGACCGAGGATTCAGATAATCCTCCCTGTGTGTGTGTGTGTGTGCGTGTGTGTGCGTGTGTGTGTGTGGTGGGGGGGGGGGTTGTAAAACCGGACACACGAAACCGGTTAGATCCACATCATATTCATGTGTCATAAGGAAATAAAATGCGTTCGGTTGATTTTCCCTTCATGTGGTACAAAATGCACAAAAAATAAAACGTTAAACACGCGTTTGAAAGGATGCAGAACACTTTATTGCTGGACACAAACAACCGGGTGATAAAGTACAAGCTATGACATGATAATGATCAGTGGGGTTGGTAAATAAGTGATCAATTTAGACTGGAGATGATTACCAGACCACTACCAGAGGCCCTAAGGTGGTTCTTCCAGTATCAGTCAGAGATGTATTTGGTTCCCAGAATATGCAGAAAAACAAGCAACCAATTTGTTCATATTTAACAGTTAAAGGGGAACGGGGACGTTCATTGTTCTATCCCTTTCTATATCATCTGTTGGTTATTGGTTGGTTATTCTGAAGATGATTATTTAGACACGTTAAACCTTTTATTGTGTTTCTGTTTGTTGTCTTTTAATCAGCTCTTAGGAGCTCAAAACCACCAGTAAAGCTGTATAAGCACCGGGTTGACGGGAGCGAAGGAAGCGGCGCATCGTACGGGGAGCTGCCTGCCGAAATCGCCATGAGTTACAAACCCATCGCCCCTGCGCCATCCGGCTCCAACCACACACCCCCAGGTCCTTACACCACCCGGCTGGACACGCAGTTATTGGCCGATTGGCATCCGTGTTATGGGTGTAAACCACGTTAAGCGATGTCAATGGCCGTGGGACTTATTTTTGCTCAACACTCTTAATTACCATTATAAAGCTTGAGGAGGTAGTCTAGCCAATATTATAATGCAAAAAAACCATATCATCACGCTGTTATAATAGTTCAAATAATTGATGGTTAAACCTAAGATACTCACCGTATTTGTATTTTGGACTTTCTCTCATTGCATCACGGTTCATACCAATAATGAATATTTAGACACTACTGAGATCAAATAAAAGGTTTCAGAAGAATTTCTTCTCACTATTGTTAGTGTTACAACTTGAACCCATTGTGTGTTACATCCATTCCCTTCTTCTGTCTAGGCTCCTCTGTGCCCTCTCCATCCCTGCCCTCGTCGTCCAACTTTCGGCCAGCTTTTAGTGACTTTGGCCCACCCTCCATGGGCTTTGTTCAGGTATGTCTAAGGGATAAGACAGGGATAATAAGGGTTATTCATGCTGTAATGTTGTATTTGGCAGTGCATACACACAAAAGGCTGAAGAATATATAGCATTTTTTAAGCTATGTCCTGAAACACAATACATCTTAATATATTTTACGTGAAATAACTATTTGATCCATTTCTTTTATATGTATAATCATATCAGCATGATTGCTGTAATAAATTAATCAAAATTTAAAAGGAGCACTGCTTTCAGGGGCTTTAATTTTGAAATTACACATCAAAATCATGTGCCAATATAGTCTGAGTGGCACACAGAGTTGGTGGGCTTTTATTTTGAAGTAAACCTCTTCTTTGGAAATAGTCGTTTATGATTAAGTTGGAAGAGTCATTTACATAATTCATTCAATTTCCCATTCATTCATTTGAAGTCAGTTCACACATTCCTTTATTCATCTACCGCAAAACAAAGTGAGGGCTGGTTTGACCATCTTTTTCCATGTGGAGGCTGAACAATGGGTTCTTGTGTCTAAAAGGAAAAGGTGTTTGTTGTTTTTATTTTTATTTCCAGCTGTAACAAAAGTAAATTCTCTATTTATTGTCTTCCCCAAACATGACTTGTTTGTGAAATTACACACACAGCCAGTCAAAGTTTCTCAAGGATCCACCTACAGTGAGCTTCTCTCTGTCATTGAGGAAATGAGCCGTGAGATCAGGCCGACGTACGCTGGGAGCAAGAGTGCTATGGAGAGGCTAAAGAGAGGTATTTTGACTCTTAACATTCCAATCTAAACAGATTGGAAATATGTTTTTCTAATAGACACCTGTAGATCAAAACCTTGCTGGTGGTTGTCTGATGTTTGGGATACATAATTTAAACTGAATATATTTTTGTACTTTTGTAGATAATTATGCCAACTGGAACAAACGTGTCTCATTAATTGTAAGTTACATTGGATTTGAATGTACAAACAAAAAGAAAATTTTGATATTATCATTATTCTTATTAGTCTTTACTACACATACAGCAGTTGGATGTGTGCACACCAAACAAAGCGGAACTACGGCCATTGTCAACATAACATGAGAAGGTTCAAGAATTAAACTTATTATTATGCTACTCACCATTTATTTCCATGTTTTTGAATCCAGATAGATATGAAGTAATGGACTGTTGTGATTCAAATAGAATCACATGCATTAGGAAACCTCAGTAGCTTCTGCTGCTGTTGTGTCGATTCAAAAAGTCAGCAGAACTTAATTTTGCCTCTAATTTGACCTGCAGTTTTCCTGCATGCCAATAGTTCTCAGCTATAAAGGCTGTATTGGATGAATTAGATTAGTTTTACTAGACGTATAAGACATCCCATGAATGTCAAACTGTTGATTTAATGCCTCCTTGCACCGTCTGTCGGTCTTTTCCAGGTATAATCCACGCCCGTGCACTGGTCAGGGAGTGTCTTGCAGAGACGGAGAGAAGTGCCCGCACATAACCTTTTCAAAAGCTCCCTTCACTCTTCATTCTTTCCCTATAAAAAAAAACCTGGTCTTCATTCAGATCCCCATCGTCTGTTTTCCAACCAGATCTTTTCACATTTTGCTCTTTTCTCAAAAGGATTTTATAGATGCATTACGACCTTCTTGTCTCCATTGTTCCCGGTGTTAAACTTTCTGTTTAGGCGAAATGCAATTTTGTATTCATTTTCAAATTTAATTTGGTGAATTTCTAAACAATTGAAATGTTAGCTGTGTGTGAAAACCTTATTAAAATGGATGGTAATATTTGAAGTAGTATTTGCTCAATAATGGAAATCAAGCCAAAAAGTCTGCATTTTTCAAAGATGAAATTTATGTTGCAACTCTACCATTGCTCAAGTTTGTTTTTGGATCAACCCCTGAATGTTAAGTTGATTGGGACATTTTCAATAGACCATTTCTATCCATCCTTGCTTTGCTTTAAGGTAATGTGAACACACATTACACATTTCTCGATCCTCAAAACACTGTACATCTCAAGTCAATTTGTTAGTATGGAAATTTTGTAAACCGGATTTTTGCAGTTATGTATATCTTAATTAAATAACAGAAAAAAATACTTTCAGTGTTTGTTTCATTTGTGAAATAGATTTCTATGGAATAAACAAAATGGGACTGTAGTTAATTGAATCAATTACACAAGTTTATATCTTCCTTTGATGTCAAAATGGCTGCTGTGAAAATGGCCTAATCAGTAATGGGCTCCTTTTTTAAATACTTACAAAATGTTACTCTAGAATACAATGTACAATGTTTGTTTTTATGAATTACGTTTGAATGTCAAATATAAATGAGTAAAATGCAAATTGGGGATAAACACATTTATTGTCATTTACATAATTGACAAACTCCTCGCTTCAGAAAGGTTGGCCTAACAACCCGCTGCTTCACAACAAGGGTGATGAGTATCTCTTTATTAGCATGTGAAGTAGATAGTGAGCGCTGCGTTGAGTGCATCTTGACAATAATGATACATAATGAACTAAGTTCAAAGGAAAAGTGAATATAAGACACAAGTCCTTGTGTGTTGTATGATGATTGTCGCAAGACATCTTGGTTTCCCAGTCGCATCAACCCAAATCGTGGTTTGAATCATTTTAGGATCTTCAAAACAGCAGTGCTCATATTTCAGAGAAAGCAAGACAACATAAAAATACTTAAAACTACTTGTTTAAAAAAAATCCTGTGAAAAGGATAACATGCTGTCGGTAATTGCTCTTTAATGTGCGCAAGTTATTTACCGAGAGTGCTGACATTTCAGAAGCCATAATGGGCCAAGTGAAGAACAAACAAGATTATTAAAGATTGGAAAGTATGACGCTCTAAATTGATGATGCTGTTTGCATCGTCAAGTGCATACCTGGGATTCTGGACTTTTAAGTATGTCAAGCTGATAATGTCAGCCTGCCTTAATCATGGAACTTAATATTACTTTGAGAAAGGGCATAAGGCAGCAATCCAAATCGCTCCGTCGTACATATGCGTGACTCTGCATGTAGAACCTGATTCCTTTGAGAATATTTTTGCGTGTTCCATGGAGGGCTGACTGGCAACAGTTTTTTGGCCTGGATGCGTGGATAAAAAAACAAAACAGCAGTGAGCGCTGTTTCTCCTCCAATCATGAAATCCACAGGCGTCCTCTCGATCCCACTGTAAGATTCAACCCTGCGAGAAGGAAAGAACAGACACCTCTGAATCCCTACACTAGATCCAGATTGGAGATTTGCAGATATAAGAAATACAACTTAGAGTAGACTGACTGTAGTGGCAGTGGCTGGTTGTGCGTTATAGTTGAACAGGCCTTTGTAGCGTCCCTTCTCCTCTTTCTCTTTGGTGCGGATCTTCTCCTCCATGGCCTTCAGCTCCTTGGCGACAGATGGTGCCAGAGAGGGGTCCAGCTCCAACACCTTATCAAAGTCTGCTCGTGCCTCCACCTCATTCCACACTGCAGCGTGGGCCTTAGCTCGCTTGTAGAAGGCCTTTAGATTGTCTATTAGCAAGGGGGAAATTAAATGAATAGACTGTCCTAAAAAAAACAAATGGCAGTTTATAGTATTTTGAAAAATGTGCTCTTGGGTTATGTTATGGTCATGCTATTACATGGCATGGTAGCTAAAACAGGTTTAATGTTTTTACATTACAAATAAATCTTCCCAACTAGCTTTAAAATGCAATTTAGAGATGTATTTGCCACATGATTAAGCCATCACTTTGTACTACACTTTATGTGGCGGACTCAAACCCTGAAACAACATAGTTTAATTCAATGGTATCAATCTACAAACTATGTACAGCACCAACAACCAAGCCTTACCCTCATATTTAAAGACTATGGACGAGCAGTGTTCGATGACTTCGTAGTACTGCCCCTGGAGGAGCTTGCACTGGCAGAAGTTGAGGAGCAGCGGTGTGATCATAAGGTCTAACTTCACCCACGATTCATCCCCAGGGTGCTCCTTAAATGCGAGACCAAAGATCACAGAAAGGTTTGCATATTTAAGTGCTTAGAATTAGAAATAAATGGATATTGTAAAAGCTGGTCCCCGGTCAGCTGGGATTCCACGATGCTCTAACCTTCATCTGCAGATTCTTGAGGCAGGCAATGCCATTGTAGTACTTCTCTGTGGCTTCCTTAATTTGGCCCTTTTTGAAAAGCATGTTGCCCTCCTCGTGGATCTGAGGCACAAGCTCGAGTTTCTCTTCGTCCGTCATAGCCCACACATCAAGCTGGAACGATCCTGGAGGCAGAACCTGAGCAGGGAAAGAAATAAAAGACCTTACAGGGGGGGCAGTTGTGCTTTGGAGCACACAGCAAGTTTATGAGATTCACATCGACACATTATCTGTGGAAAATAATCTTGTTTCAGTGATGAGTTTTAAGAACCTTTACTTCTTTTCCCCCACAACAATGGTTTGAAAATAACACATGTCAAAGAAAGATATATAAAAAAGGGTGCTGGTAGTGGTACCAAAACTCAGCTACTGTGTGATAGAATAGAGAAGAACATCTTAACAATACTGAGTTTGCAACTCTGAATGGAACCCAATACAATGAGCACCATTGGTATTAAACTCCAGGTTCTCCTCTTGACTTCTCACCTCCAGCAGCTCGATGGAGAAGACCAGAGGCTGCAGATTGGCCTGAAGCTCATCCAGGTCCTTGTGCCCCAGAGAGTGGTGGGAATGGATCTGAGCAATGCCACAGCAGTGCCTCTGGCCCTCCAGGGGGTCCTTACCAGCACTGATGTTTCTCAAGGACTGGGACACGAGCGGATAAAGTGCTGTGTGCTAAAGAATACATTACAAATGGTAAATGCACAGAAAGAACAGAGAACAGAACATGACTGCCGCTCCATCCCAACTTGCCAGCTCACTAACCTTATTGTCACAGGTAAATTCTGCCACTTCGCCTTGTTTCATGGTGATGACCACTCTCTCCCACACAGCTAGTTTAAACTTCTTGCCCAAGATGAGCTCCATGGGTTTGCTGCGGCCCCCCATGGTTCTGGAGTCATCCAGCACTTTGCCATCACACAGGCTGGTGCGGTAGTGGAAGACCACCTGGTAAACAAATATAGGACGGACAGGGACGACATTAAAACACATTTCACACTGCTCGACAGAGCTATCCGGTTAAATAACTGAAAATGACAGCACCGTTTGAACGAGACGACATTTATTCGATCGAGCTTGTTTACGAGAAACCAAAGGGCAATCTGTACGGATCTCACAGGCCTGACGAAGTGTCTACGCTCCATCCGATTCTGACCAATCACAACAACGGAAAGTGGACTGGCGTAGTATGCCGACCAATCAGCGTGCATAAACACATGCCATCCTGTCCCACCCCCTGCCTTTCCATCAGATGAAAAAATAAGGGGAAAAAATGTAAACCAGCAAAAAAAAAGGTTAGTCAGCATCAAAGGCTTTAAACACAACAAGGGAGCGACGTTTCCGTGAGAGTCTGCGGTGCCAGAATAGTAGCGCGTTGCGTTTGCTGTTACGTTCACGTTACCATCTAACGAGTCTAATGGGTTAGCTAGCTACTGTTAGCATCAGCTAAAGTGCTTCATCGCATTTCTTAAAACTAATTCAGCGTACCGGACACTACAGTTCCAACCTTCGACACACTCTAGTTTTACCTTGGTGCCATTGGGGAATGTAGATAGCTCTCCTCTACCAGGGCTGATCACTTTCTTTATTATTCCTTCCTCGAGAAGCTTGCGTGCCTCTTCCTCCATCCTTGACCGAGTCTCATTAACGACGGATGACGATGTTTGCCGAAGCCGCCGGCCTGCTCGTTTCGTCAGACTTCGCTTTGCGCCTTAGAGCGCCCCCTAGTGCCAGTAAAGGCTCTGTGGCGCAAGACTATGTCAGATAATAATTCTGTCTACTATTTACTTAGTAGATTAATCACGATTTCCACATCGATGAATCACTATTCACAGTATGAGTTTTGCAGTTTGTTAAGAAAATACACTTGTAGGTTAAGGGTGCAACTTCTTTATCTATATGGTGGATGCATTGTTTCTTGTTTCATGTAACCCTAAATCTGCAGTCTAAATGTCACACCAGTTTCTTATCCTGATCAGTTTATTCCAAATCAGAGTAAGTTTACATTGCCTATTGTATAATACCTTCCTCCCTTTGCTGTTGTGCTGGTTTGACTTTCGTAATTCAAAACGGCAAGAACTGTATATCCAAAGTCACAACGTTTACAGTTAATTGTCTCGCTTGCAACACACTCATCTTCAAACTCAGCCTTTGTTTTGATCTCAACTTGTGAAGTTTTGTGACTTGTATCTTACACAGTATTAATGTGTCATCTCTTGTAAGCCTTCAGCTATGAAGCGTTTCTCGCATTGGAACAAGCTCCCATTTTAAGAAAGGGAGGCAGCCAAATTTAGGAATAGGCTGAAAGCTTTTGTCTTGTATAACGCATATGGCCAGCACCTGTAATACGGCCTTCAAAGTCAGTGTTTTATGTCAGGAAAAAAATCCTGCATCAGTGTAATTTGCTTTAGAGACATACTGGTTAAAAACTTACTTTAACCTTAATTGGAAAAAAATCTCAATTGGCACAAAATAAAATGTACAAAAAGTTTTATTATAATTTCACAGTCATCATTCACACAACATAAAAACACAGGCAGGACCAATCTCCGTCTTTTTGTGGACAATTACAGCAATATCAGTTCATGTAGTGAAAACATAGTGAATGCACGGAGTGGTTGAATTAGTAGTGGTCATTACAATGACAAGAAAAAACAACCATGTGTACATACATGTGCTACAAGTGAAAAAAAACACATTTCATTTTAAGATAGCAAACAAATAAATGTACTGAAAATGTAATGTCATTTTTCAAAATAGGGTAAGTAGAATAATTTGAAGCCTCTCCTTCCCCGGACAGCACAGCTGATGTATATCACATGGTACACTGTAGGACATACAGGTCAGGATAGTGTTAATATCAAGAAAACAAGATAAGCATTTAGTGGTACAGAAAAAGGCCAACAACACAAATTGTAGGAAACAATGGATACATTTACCTCCCGGGATGAAGAGAAGAAATCCAGGTACAAAGAAAATAGCACTTGAAACCCCTATAAGGACACTTTTATTAGTTACAACTCTTTGCAAATAAGCCGTCATCAACACTGGTCAATGAAACCACACAAATAAAAGAAAGTTCCTGGGGAGAAAATGATGTTTTTGTTGTCAAGAGCTGGATTAGAGGATTGATACCACTCATGTTTGCTAGTTAGCTTAGCACTGGAAAAAGCAATCCTGGCTCTGTCCAAAGGGAATGAAGTTTGCTACACTGTTTAACGGTTTGTACTGGTTGGTTGATTTTAGGTTAGAGGGTTTTGTCCAGCTCTATTCCTTCATCCCATTTGTATATGTGGAGCTGGTAGATGAGCGGGACAGACAACACTCATTCAGAGACTCTGTTGAAAACATTCAAATCTGTATTCTTCTAGTACAATTGTTAAGGAAATGTTGGTTTTGTAATTTTTAGTTTTGCGTCAAATATGTGAGTTAGGACTGTGGTTCGGAAATTTTGATTTGTATCTTGAAGGCATTTTTATTCATGAAAAATTTGTTTTACAGTGATACAGGTCAGCTCTGACAATCTATACATTTCAGAGGTTTAAGGGATAACTTCTTTCAATGTGTCCACCGTGCAAATAATGTGCTTGTTGATATAAATGAATCTATTGTTGATAATGTGGAATCTGGACCAACGGATTCATTGTGTCATTTCTAGACACCAAAATAGTTCATTATATTTTTTCCTTACCCGCATTTGGATTCAGCTGTATGACAACACCCGTGAAAATAAGAGCTAAAATGAAACAATACAAATATTACAACAGCACAGTACAATCCATATAAAGGAAATGTTGGGTTGAGTCCATATGAAATATATATTCAATAAGAAAAAATGATTCCAAGCATGTCACTGACAGACACAACACTAAACAAACTACCTGTTCTAATAATTATCTTTAAGTTAAAATAATGGAGCACAATTTCATATGAAGCATTTTTAAGTCACACAAAAATGTCAGTGCAGTTTGAATAAAGATTTGACATTATGGTCATTTAAATTGGATCTACCTTATCCAAGAAGAAGAAGAAAAAACAGGTACTACATATTATTTCCTGAACCATTGACTGTTCCTTTCAAGCCACTATTCTAAAAAGGTCAGAGCCATTAGTCACATACATTATTCATGTGACACTGGCCTATTCATGAGAAAAAAAACCTATGAAAATGTGATAAAAAGCAGGCACTTAAGACCAAATTAAAATAACATTATTCCTTTTTGAGACAAGACTTTGTCACAGCAAAACCGTTCTAGTTGGATATTTTATAGGTAATGAGTAAACAACTCTGTTAAGACTCACCAACTCCAGTGATGAGGAGAAGGAATGAAGCGAGAACAACTCTTCTGTTTTTCTTCACCATCGGATGGGACACCCACCTGAGCAAAACATTCTTTATGGTAAATGTGTTTGTCTGTTGTTGTTGCTGTGTGTGTGTGTGTGTGTGTGTGTGTGTGTGTGTGTGTGTGTGTGTGTGTGTGTGTGTGTGTGTGTGTGTGTGCTTGAGTTGTTTGGACTGACCCGCAGCAGTGTGCAGACAGCTGTGTGACTGAACTCAACGTGCTGAAGGACCACTGGGAGCTGCAGTAGGACAGCGTGGAAGGGTCGCTGGGGAGAGAGCAGGGACACACTTTACCTTCAAGAGCACACGCAAGTCTACGATCACAAACTACACCTACAGCACCCACCTGATTTTGAAGAAATTATTGAAGGAGGAGTTTCCATTGGTGCCCAAGGCATCTTCGTTTTCCAGATTCTGAAGATGCATCGGATAAGAAAGTTGTTGCAGTTTCAATTAAACATGCACACACATAACGCATATATTATTATTTTGTATGTCTGTGTACCTGATATTTTAGGTTACTGTGTTCAGGAGAACCAGCAGCAGCAGCAGCAGGTGAGGGTTGAGTCTGAGGTTTGGAGAAAGCGAGAGGACCAAATGTCATCTCGCCTCCTTCTCGGTCGTTATCTCTGCCTTTCCATCCCTCCGCCTCTCCATCAGACACAGCTCCCTCCTCATCCCCCTCCAGTACAAAGGCATCATCGATACTGAACTGCGTCGCCATGGTGATAGCCTTTCACGCGCTGAGGGCCTGCGGCTCGGTGCTCACTGTTGATTCAGTAAAAAAAAAAAAGAAAAAAAAAGAAGAAGAAACATTGGTAGTTAAATACTTTTATTATCAAGGATCCGTTCCCCCCGGAGACCCCGGCCATTTCTTAAACACGTGCACACATGACGCTAAATGTTACGCGCAAACAAATAAACTAGCGCTCAATATTCCCCCTATGCAACACATTTAGCGTTAACTAACGTTACGTTGGTTCATATTTACAAAGAGAAAGGGGCGAATGTGCCCATCCACGTCCGGATTATCTACAGTACTGCTTCGACTCGGCCTGCGAGCAGACTGGGTCAAAGTTAACTCAAAATAAAGCAGCGGCTAACTGGCCATTGTTGGTGCTTTTTTCCGCTAGTCGATCAGATGACCAAGAGGAATACTTACTTTCTTGAGTAAACTCTTTCTGCGGCAAGGCTGTAAAACAACTCCAACTTGTAAACACTCAGTTCACATATTTGTACACTGCGCGTTATCTTTCAAGCCTTCGTACCACTTTTGATCTCGAGAGCAAATCGATAAAAGATTTTACAAAAGTTTTGAGGATCGCGTTCTGTTTTTAACCCGGTAATTGACTACTCATGTCTGATTACGCCCAAAGATATCTTCGAGAGGTCAGGCTACTTAATCGAGTGTCGGTTGGTCGATCGACACAGTGTGGTAGAGGAACGTTCTAAAACTATACTACACACAATACTTCCAAGTTTTTTTCTCAGAATAGTAATAGTTAAGAGTGCTTAATGTAGAAAAATGTGATATGCTAATGTCATAGGATACTATTATCTAATTAGAGAACCATTGATCACACATGCATGCGTGTGCTTGATTGTATTGTTGTTGCGTAAAATTAAAGTAAAATTTGAAAAAAACTATGTTATATCATATTGCATCTATTCATTTTCATAATAAATTATTTTATCTAGAATTTGGTAATTGTTTTTTTAGTTTGGGTTGTTACGGTGGAGATAGGAGAAGAGTTGGTTAAAAATCCCACGTTCAAGAGTTTAGGACAGAAAGGGAAGAAGAGATGGGTTGAGGGTGGGTTTCTTCAGAAGAGGGTTAACTCTTCCTTCATCCTTCAGATAACGGAGAGCAGTTAATGAGACAGGTGAGGTAAGGAAGAAGGTGAGGAGCGATAGATTGTAGAATATGGGATGGAACGGGGTCAAGAGGGCAGGTGGTCAGACGGGTAGAGGATACTAAGGTAAGGACCTGGTTTGGAGACAGGGGGGTAAAAGATGGAAGCGAGGGCGATCGAGGTGAAGTCGGTGGGACGCAAGTAATAGGAAATGGGTTTGAGAAAGAGCAGCGTATGTCAGCTATTTCTCTAGTAAAAAATAGATTAACCAGAGGAGGCGAAAGAGGAGGGAGAGAGGGAGCGAACGTTGCAATAAACAGATACAGAGTCAGTTCATGGGACGGAGTCGTTAGTTAGAGAGAGCGGAAGAGATGAAGAAGTGGTGAGAGACGTGAAGTGGAGTTACAGAGAGGTTAGAGCCAGTGCAGTTTATGCTGAAGATGTAGTCAAGGTGATTGCCGGCTTTGTGAGTAGGAGGAGAGGGACTGAGTGACAGTGCAAAAGAAGAAAGTAGGAGTAAAAGGTCAGATGACTTCTCTGTCTGGATGTTAAAGTCTCCCAGGAGGATGAGCTGGTTGGACAGGAGGATGTCCCATTCTTCCAAGAAATGACACAATCTGAAAATGTGAGAATCTGAACCAAGAAATAGCATTTCAGTTTTTTATCACTATTCTCTCAGCTCTACTTCTATATGTATTGTTAGGTAGATTTGTTTAATCAACAACACAACAATACATTTGATAAGATCCTTGTATTGTTTGTTTGTTTTTTTCTAAAAAAAACTTTAATCTGTAAGAACTATGACTAACTATTCAAATTAATGGAGCGTAATAGAAAGTAGCATGTCAAGTATAGTCATTCAAAGTAACACAAATTTACCCTTAAAATGTGTGTTTGGTATTTAGTGGCATGTAGTGCAGACTCCCTAGTCTCCCTAGTCCCCCCTCTCCCAGTGTTCCAAGGGTTTCAAGGGCGACCTTCGGAGAGTCAGCCAAAGTGAGACTGCCAGCTACTAATAACTTCATTTCACTTGCCAAGCTGAGCTGTTATGATTGACGTATAAAAAAATGGACTGAAGTACTGATATTATCTTGATATTTCCTGGCTCCGAAATGGTGGAACGAGCTCTCTGATGACATCAGGACCGCAGAGACTCTTTACATCTTCTGCCGCAAACTAAAGACACACCTCTTCAGACTCTACCTAAAAACACTAAACAAATTGTAGCACTTGTACTTACAATGGCTCTTATCTATAGCAAGCTGTAAATCGGCTTATTTGATGAAATTGCACTTTCTTGTTCTTCTGGGTTTGACTTATTGTAAGTCACTTTGGATAAACGCTAAATGACATGTAATGTAATGTAAAATACTATATATTTTCCATGCAAAAATAAATGCAATAAAGGCAAAGCAGAAAAATAAATGATAAACTTGATACCTTTAGCCAACATGTGAAGTCATGTGATTTCCAGCAAGTCAGAAGACCTTCATTATGCAAATAAACATCTCTAAACCAATAACCACAGATAAGTCATTGCATTATAGCTCTGAGGAGCAGACAGTCAGAGCTGGTATAGAGCGGACAGTGACGGGTGTGGCAGAAATTGAATTTGGATACATTCAATTCAAGATGTGAGTTTTTAATGTTTTGTGAATTTTTTATTGTTGATTTTTCTTGAACCAAAGCGATAATATTTGCAGTGTAAACTACATTACTTTTGTAATTTATCCTCCATCCATCCTACACAAAGTTGTTGGCATTACTCTCTAGTAGCCTAATGGTGTATTTATTTCAAATGGAAGCTATAGCTAAACTAGTACGGTTTAAAAAGTTTCAATATTGGGCAACATGTTTCACAGATTGCACCACATTATTGACCCTCTTTCCGGCTTGGTGCCATATTCAGTTTGAAATCCTCACTTGCAAAACAACTGGCCGACTCCAACCTGCCCTCTCTGCTCTGTTCGCCGCCGAAGATGAAACCGAAGGCTTTGCTTTGGCTCTTGCTGCTGCTCAATTGGGAGGTAACCTTACCAGAACAATGCAGAACGAGCTCCTTACACCATAGCTCAAGTTGAATGTTGATTTATCTTCAATACCTAATATTGTATTAAGGGCTTAAACCCCCTCCTTCTCGACGCTTGAAATTACCAACATTTGCTCACATGGATTTAACGCTGTCTTTCCACTTAGCTTTCCTCGTGCACACATCTACGGGTGATACCTGGTTCCTCACTGGAGCTGCCCTGCCTTTCGTTTCAAACTGGCTACACTGGAGCGGCCATCACCTGGAAATTCAATGGTCTTATTATGTATTTTTTAACTACCACCGGAACTGGACTGTACAGTTATATATATATATATATATATATATATATATATATATATATATATATGTATTGAGTTGGGTCTTTTCTTAATGCAGGCGAAGATGTGCCTGTCATCGCCCAGTCACGTGACTCGCCTCGAGTTCGACAAGGCGGCTTGTATCTCTCATTATCGCCGGTTACTGCTGCCAACGAGGGCGAGTACTTGTGTCTGACGAAGGAGAACAACATGGAGATGACAAGGACATACCGCATCACAGTCGATGGTGAAGATAGACGCACACAACTCTTTCACTATACACACACATTGAAACATTTTGAATAGAGTACATAGAAAACGATTCAATATTTACCATTATGCAATACGCTTGACTCTAAAAAAATGTCCGTGGTTCTGTCCGCAGTCTTCTTTAAGTATACTATAAGGGTATTTGAGGGCGTCAGTGCTCACCTGCCGTGCCATTTCCCACCTTCCAACCAAGTCAAGACCAATGCACTTTGGTTCAAAGAGACAAATCTTGACGAGAGGACACAGCTTCCCCTTGAAGACGATGATAGCAGAGTAGAACGGCTTTATCCACTGGACCACGATCAGGCCATCCTAATCAAAGACATTGTCAAGGAGGATGCTGGAAATTACATATGTCAGTCTGCTGAGGGAGAGAGTCTGAGCTCTGTGTATGTCATTGTTGAAGGTACGTTTGGTGACCTTTTCTCATGTACCTCAAATTGAATTTTAGTTTACATTAATGTAGACTTAACGTTTTTTGTTTAATATTTTTTTCAGTTTCTCCTACCGCTGTTCCTCACTCCTGCAGTGGCTTCACCACACCGTGGGAGCCCTGCCAGGACAGGAACAGTCGCACAGCGGGGCCCATGTTGCAGGAATCCATCACGGGGTTTTCCATGAAGCTGTATTCTTACCTCAGAGAATCACAACCCTCCAGCAACTTGCTCTTCTCTCCGATGAGTATCAGCGGGTTGCTGTCCCATTTGTTGTTAGGTAAGACAAACAAAAAGGTACACAATGATTTTGAATAATTCTTGTATACTCAAAAATGTGGTTTCCCATGAAAAGGCTAAAGCCAAAAATGAGTGAAAGTATTGCCCTGGTGTCCAACGTCTGATATATGATTTCCTCTGTGCTTTTATCTCCTCTGTTAGCAGCACATTAATGAGCCACAGACAGCAAAAGTATTGAGAGGACACAAAGGGTTTGGTGGTTTTAATGGGATTTGTTGACAAATGAAGAAATTAGCATAACATCTATATATACAGTACTTCACAATGCAATGGTCTGACAACTGTGGAGCTTGGCTGAATGTGTCCTTGTTTTGTGTTCCTCACTTTGACGGGCGACCGGAGTCGGTCACCACAAACTGCAGTACATATATATATATCTTCCTACATTGTCTTTTCTTCATCATGTTACCTTCAGGTACAAGGGACGACACACGTAAAGCCATGGAGAGGGCTATCTGTCTGCCTCATGACTTCCATTGTGTTCACCTCCAGATGAAGAAGCTGAGAGAGAAGTTGGCCAGTTCCTTGCAGATGGCTTCTCAGATCTACTACAACCCAAGTATTACTGTCACGAGCTCAGATCCAAAACGGCTCCTCTGCAGTCAAAGAGATGCAGATATTCTGAGCGCTTAACAAAAGGATCTCGATCTCCGCAGCTTATCGTGGTTTTTCCGTTCTCTTCCTTAGAAATGAACCTCAGCCGGTCCTTTACTAACCAGTCAATCCAGTTCTATGACGCGGAGCCCGCCAGGTTGCTGGAAACCAGTGAGGAGAACGCACAGATGATCAACAGCTGGGTGGCCAATAAGACTAACAATACAATCCAACACTTGGTCGACGCCGTACCACCCAGTACTCAGCTGATGCTGCTCAACGCTGTCTCCTTTAATGGTAAGTGCCTTAAGGTGTGGGAGTGTTCATGTGGAAATGGTGGAAACTAATGAACAGTGTACAATGTGTTTGTCAGGTCAGTGGAAGGTCAAGTATGATACGAAACCCAAGAAAGGACTTTTCACAAAACTGGATGGCGATATGGTGAAGGTGCCGCTCCTCTATCACCCCAAATACATGGTGGCTATGAATTACGTTGTTGAGCTGAAGGCACAGGTAAGAAAAATCCTGTGAAATTGTGTCCAAATTTCTACATATGTAGTAACTCGGACGTACAGTATACGAATATCCTCGAAGAAATGAGTGGGCCCACAGTGTGGGACATTAAAGACCTCTGCTAAACAGTAAGAGGTGTTTTATTTTTCAATAGGTGGCAAGGTTCGCCCTCACGGGAGACGCCAGTCTTTACGTCCTGCTGCCTCAGTCCAGCAAAGTGACGGACCTGCAGCAGGTGGAGGAGAGGATGACAGAAACGACTGTGCGTCAAATGATAGAACAAATGGAAGCAACATCTCCGCAGCATGTCGAGGTCACTCTGCCCCAAATTCGGCTGAATATCCAGACAGACATGAACACGCTTATCAAGAAATTAGGTTTGTTCTTATGTCATCATCTTTTCTGTCCGTCAGAATCATTCAGCTAAATATTGCAAAAAAAATGGAAAGTTTCAGTTTATAGAGCTTTAGCTTCCAGCTAGTAGACATCCGTTAAGACTTTTTTTTTTACCTTCTGTGCTTTGATTTCCATCTGATCCACTTTGCTTCTGTCTGTTCTTTTTCCCTCCCTAAATGCACCTTTCCGCACTGTTTTATCCCTGTCCCCCCCCCCCCCACCTACCAGGGCTTTCGTCCCTCTTTGAGGGCGCCAACTTTTGTGGTCTCTGCTCGGAGGAGAGGGTTGTTCTGGACGATGCCAGACACAGAGCCTTCCTCTCCCTGACCGAAACAGGAGTGGAGGCCGGGGCCGTCACCAGCACGTCTTACTCTCGCTCCTTCCCGTCCTTCTCTGCACTGCGGCCTTTCATCATGCTGCTGTGGAGTGACCCGTCCAACGTGCCACTCTTCATTGGCAGAGTTACCGACCCGTGAGAGAAAGGAGGATCTATTGTTGTATTAGCACAACATAAACTCAGTAGCAGCTTTGCTTCAAGTAGTCACTGAGCTTGATGATGATGATGATGAATAAACACATTATCAACACAACCTATAAGTTGCCTGTCTTGTGTTTTTTAAGAATAAAGGTACAAGTGTGGATCACATCAAAGGAAGACGGACAACCACTGAAACAACTTCAATTTATTTGGTGAAGTAGTTACACAAACCCACCACAGGATGGCAGCCATACTGTGTGATTGACATTGACAGTGACTACACAGGGACTGCAGTAGTGAATTCCCCATCTCAATTGGCCATGCCCCCCTGCATCATTACAACTGTAATCAATTTAAGGAAGACGGAAGTGTCAAAATTTGTGTTAGTAAAGGTTTTGTTTCTTAAAGCAATAGCTTGCTTGGTAAAGCACAGCAACTGAGCAAAAAATACCCTGAATCATTGTATTCACAAATAAACCCAAAACACACTGATGGCGTAGACTGTAAACACATCAGCATTCCGAATGATCAGCCATGGTTGCACTCTATTATACACGCACGATAGTGATTGCTAAACATGCAGCTGTATTGCAGGTAAAATGATTACGTAAGCAAAGCGGGGTCAATAGACAAGAGTCACTAAATTCGGTGACTGTAAACAAAACCAGCAGATCCAGAGGCAGGAATAAGCAACCAGCCTGAAATGTGACCTCTATTAGATCACTGTCACCCAGCCTAGACCCAATCAAAGTACTGAGTATTCCCAGAAATGCATCTTTGATGCCTTGATAACATAATAATGTCGTTTTGGTTTTATTATCTCACTGCCAACGCGCTGGGAGTTTTGATGTGCATAGAGAAAGTACTGAATAAATCTTGCCTAACCCTTCTTTTAAAGTCATTGATGAGCGAACAGAAAATATGTTTATCCTTCTGTTACACCCACATGGTTTAGTTCCAAGCTTCGATTATGGCCAAGCCCTTGTTTAGTCAAACCTAATTCACCACTGAAGGATTCTTTTTTTTTTTTTGGCAGTCAACGATGAGACATTCACAAGGTTGTTGAAGGACACCAAGAATATGAGCAGCCGGATCGATTAAACAGTTCCAAAAACTCCTGCAGGCCAGTGGCCGACTGTGGGTGTGCCAATGTGAACCAGTGTACAGCCGGAGCTGTAGAGCTAGAGGAACTGGGGGGAGTACATCTGTTATCCTGTCAAACATTTACACAGTTCAGTGGTAGTCTAGCCGCTATGTAGCATTGATGGTTCGAGGTGTGTTTCGAGACGCATAACAGACGTAAGGGTTAAATCCGCAATCTGTAAGTCTTTTTTTTGCATCTCCGATCCTTTGCCTGTGGTCCTCCACTGTCCCCGGCTACCACGCATGCAGGGTGAAATCGCATTTTACGTCCTGGGGTTAAAATGGAGGACATTTCTACTAACAGCAGGTAATCCTATGTCAGAGACATGGACACGATAGTGTCTCTTGTCCATTGGATGAAATACATGCCACTGTAGACCGAAGTAAGACTGTAGACTGAAGTAATGGGATGAATGCAACATTGAATGAAGCAATGATTCCCTCTAATGGTGGACGTAGACTCCAGCCACATTCCTTGCATAACTTCTGAGATCGTTGTCTCAAGGGTTTACAAAGGTACATCGTTCGTCGCAGCCCTATTCTTATAGATTAGATCACAGGACCAATCGGATGCCTGCATTTTGAAATGCATACAATTAGTGCTGCAAAATTGCCGTGCAGGAAGAAAATGTTGCATCATCCCTGACACTGCTTGAAGTAAAACCTAGAAGTGATAAGTCTTTTATGGTAGAATTATGAACCAAAAGAAGAGTCAGTGATAAGGTGTCAGCCGATACCTTTTTGGTCCGCATTTTTAGCATTTATTCTTTCCATTTTGATTAATTTCTTATTGCTATTGCTTCTTTATCACGTGTATTAGTTAATGAAATTTGTTAATGAGATCCAAAATAAATGATCTATTTGAGTATCGGCCTGTACTAAAACGTCTGCATTAGATCCTGAATCCCTACATTTAAAATACATTTCAGCCAGCATGAGATATTGCTGATGGTTTAAGTAAGACCGCTGGAGGTAGTAGATGAAGAAAAGAACTAGAAAAAGATGCCACGTCACACTAGGCCAACTGCCATTTGAAAATGGCCAAGGCCGGGTTCAAGTGCAGTTGAATAAGAGTAGCATAATGTGTGTGTTGGAGACAGAGAGAGCGACAGAGGGAGAGACAAAGACGCTGAATGCACTCAGAGTATTTTGGCAACAGGTGGTGGTGAGATGGGCAAAGTAATGGTACACCAACTGGACCGAACTGGAGAAACTGAGGAAAACCTTCCGTGATCCTGTTCTATCTAGATCATGAAGCTGCAGTGAAGCCACGGTGCAAAAGCGCCTCCAAAAAAAGCAATATCTGTTGGGCCAGAGGTAACGCATCAAGTCAAATTCCACTCTTAAAGTTGGTCTATGACTCGATGATGAGAAAGAGAGACGGCTCACATCGCTGACAACTTGAATCCTCCCGAGCCAGGAGCACTCACACCGATGAGGGGTGTGGTGGGGAACTCTCTCCTGAATGTGGCTTTCATGTCCTTTACTCAATGCAGACCCCTGTCCAAAAAAACTATAGATAAAAAGAAAAGCATGCAAAAGTACCCTTTAGAAACCCCTCGGGTAGATAAAATATGATACGGTGCCCTTTATGGTGCCCTTCCAGTGGAGAAAACATGTTGAAGCGCCCTTTAAGGTGTCCTTAGAATTTAGAAGACATGTTGCAGTGTCATATAGGTCGCCCAACATGCTTGAAAACTTTTCTGCATGCTGCTGCCCTTTATGTTTTTTTTTTCTACCCCTGACCCTCAAGCAGCAAGAGTCCAGCGCTGCTTTTATTATTCCTAAACATCTCTGTGGCTCTGAAGTTGCATTCAGACAGTGTGAATGGGTCATGACAAGAACACACATTCACACAAAAATACACACAGTACAGATAAAAAAATGTACGCACTCATATGTTTAAAGCCCTCATGCACACACACGCACACACACACATATATTGATACGGAATGAGAGTGGAGCGAAAGCCACTGTCACTTAAAGACAATGAAAGACGTAAGAACAAGAACACTGAAACAAACGGTAAAGTTTCAAATCCACCAAATGGATCCTTTTGTGCTTTATAATACGGCATGTTGTTTTGCATCAGATCAACAACCACTAAAGTCGAAACTTCTCAATATAGAATATCCCTTTCACAACATTCCCTCTACTGTAACTATACAGTATATCACATTATGATACTCTGGATTGCACATACTTTTAGTGCCTTTTACTGAATTCATTTTGAGTACATTAATCTCAAATCACTCCATAGGTGTAAATTTGACAGAATACGAGCGACTTCCACAATACAGTGAGGTCTTCAGAACAATTTTGTGAGAATTTTTTTGTTACGTCAACACTTTAATGAGGACATCGTCACATTTTGGTTCAACTTTTAAAAAAAGTTTTCAGATCACACCTTATTACTATCAATAATATTATTATGAATATCATATTATACTAATAGTTGGTGCAGTAATTATTGGAGTTCTATGATCATTTTCAACATTATTATTATTGCATGTTTTGCTCTTATTACTCCTTTACTTAGTCTCTGTTATCATCCATCTTCCTGGGAGACAAATGTGTGTGTGTGTGTGTGTGTGTGTTTGTATGCATGAATGTCTTGTGTAATCTAGTCGGGTTTGTCACCGCTCGGGGCTCCTTGCTGTGTGAGCGTATGCCAGTACTCCACTTTCTTCCCTTTATTCTTGAGACAGTCAAACCAGTGTCTGAGTCTCTGTCCGCTTGCATTGATGCCCAGTTCCACTCCACCTACAAACAGACGGAAACACAGGAGATTAATCAGGACGGGCTGGGGAGTTATTGCAGGGTAATGAAAGGAGAGGAATCAAGGATAGGAAGTAAAGAAAGGCAGGCTAGTGTAGTAAATGATCACCTAATTGTAAATACTTGTGTTTCATTGCACAAGAAGCGCTTCACTGTAGCAGCAGGAGAACTAAACAATGAAGTGAAACTCAAAAGATGTGCTAAGCCAAAGGGGAGCGGCAGATTTAGGCGATAATTCTCTGTAGGTTTGTGTCGACCTCGTTGTCACATCGGCGTTTGGTACAATGTTATCAGAGAGACGCTTTGAAGACACCACATGAGAAGTTTCCAAATAAATCTAATCTTCAGTGGAATTTCAAACAACGCACAGACATGTAAGACAAGACAAGGGAACTAGACACTCCTTATTTTTAACAATGCCTTTCATCTTATAATCAATTCATTTTTGCATCCCGAAAAATCACTTTGGTTGTTTAGAATTACAAAAGGAATTTTAAACCAGTTCCAGTTCAAGTACCTGAAAACTAAGGTGTAGTTGTAGTTGGTAAGCCGTATATGTTGTTGTGGCATTACAAAATGACAAGGGCATTTCTTTCTCTTTTTAAAATCTTTTTAATAATGTAATTGACCTTTGATAAAATTGTATATTGACTTTCACGCCGATAAAGATTATGATTATTTGACTGTCAGCAAAGAAGGAACCAAACAGACATTCAACACAAATTCCTCCGGGCAGAGAAAAAGAGGAATAGCTGGGGACTTACAAGAGATTTAGACAACAAATTATTTATTGAAAAGGTTCACGGGGGAAAATGGAACGCAGGAAATGACTCGGATGACGTCGGCGGAGAGGCGGACTGTGAAAAGAGAGATCAGCAGGCAGTTGTCTCACGGAGGCTATTGCAACGCCAATCCCTCGGCTGTGATTGCACGCTTAATGGGCCGTGAAGTTTTAAACCCGCTATTTTGGCAACGTTGCCGTCTGTTCTAACAGCGCCTTTGGAATATGAGAGCAACCAGGACACCGGGCTCTTTCGCTGATCGTTGAATGGTGTCTGAAACACTGCTTCCGGTAGGAGAACAGTCTCCTGTCCTGCATCCTCCTTTCCTTTCCTGACACACAAAGACACACAGTGAGTGCAGGAGAGGGTGCAGGGTGCAGGGTGCACCTTTTGGTCAACTTTGCTCCCACCACGTCCGGACAGAGATCGATGAAGTGTTCCCTGAGCCCGCAGGCTGCTAGTGAAAAATGGTCAGCCGTCCTGACACTCGCTCGGGGGGCCAGAAGAGGAATGAGGATCCGGAGCCGGAGGAGATTATAGAGACGAGGACGAAGGTCGACAGTCAGGCTGGCGAGCAGGTGTGCAGCGACGCTCGGCCCTGGTTTGACCCTGTTCCCCTGTTCCTCACAACCGTTCCCTATTCTGCTCCACAGACGCCTCCAATACACCCAAACACAAGAACCCGCTGGTGAAAAAACAGGATTGCAAACCGGAGTGCATATGTTTCAAACAAAAAAACGCTTGTCGGATCATCGATCAGTTTGAGTAACTCATGCTCGAGTAACAAGCGTTTCCACTTCGGGGGTAAAACGACAAGACAAATCACTCAAAATCAGTTTGGGGCTTAATTCATGGTTCGGGATGAAATCTCTTCTTGTGTATCGATCTCTCCCACAAGTCATCCACTTGATTTACTGTGTTGTTTTCTTGACCTCTGTACTTTTGACCTCACATGTATTCTCACTGTCATCTTTAGTCTCCTTGTATTTCTGAAATCTCACCTTTCACCCCGATACCCTCTCTGACTTCAGCTAAGCCATTTAGCCCGCTTGTTACTGCCCTCACCCTGATGCAAATGCATGGGGATTATGTTCACTCGGGCTCTTTATCCACGCTTTTTTTCCCATTCTTCTTTGTTTCAGTGTCATTTTTCTCCCAGCACCAATTAACATAACTGGCAGGCTGATGTAGCTGAACCTGCAATGACAACGATAATGGTGAGGGGAATGACCGTTTACCTAATGCCTCGCGTTCGACCCACGGCCTTTTTCGCCCGGCAGGGCTGATGGCTCACCGAGTTGATCTAAACACTAGGTGTGTACCACACAACCCACCCAGCCCCTTACACACACACACGCACACACTCACACTGGCAAGGGCTTTGATCCGAAGGCCTGGGAGCTCATAGGGTGGTAATCCGTTCTCACCGTGCCTCCCCACTAGTTCCCCATCACCCCCTAAGCTCCCATGTGCGCCATTACCGTGATGTACACATTAGACCCTACGAAATCTGTTCAGCAGTTTCACTAAGCAGCAGCCATCTGATGTGCCAAGCCCATGAAGGACAGGGGCCCTTTTCTTGATTTCTAAAGCATTTCCTTTTCCTCTCAAACCCTTATTTTGCTTTTTCAAATCGTTCTCCTCAAGCCTCATGATTACCCCTCGTTTCTTTTCTCCACTCCTCCCTCCGCCCACGCTCGGCCTGGTTTTTATGTTTTCCGCAATTGCTCCGCTTTGATTCCAGCACTGATCGCCCTCCTCCCCCCCCCCCCCTTCATCTCCCCCACTCCTCCGTTTCTTTTGAGCCTACCTATGAAGTCGTTGCTCATTCCGAGGTCGTAGTCCCACACAGAGATCTCCAGGGTTTTCTTTGCCAGCTGGTCCAAGGTAACTTCGTATGAAAACTCCTGTGCAGGTGGTGCACACAAGAGCGTTTTTGTGTTAATGATTCATTAACGGAATTCAGAGGGGGGGGTTTTCAGAAGAAACATGCGGATTGATGCTGAGCGCGCATTCACGCGAGGAATGTTTAAAGTTGAAAAAGATATTTCTTAATTGGGATGCTCATCAGATGCACTACAGAATATACTTATGTGCTCGATAAATTTTGCAAGACGTATTGTGGTTATTTGTGGAACTGGAGTCAAGTTGTACCTCATTAAATTCCGGATTGAGAGTCTTTTTCTTCACTGTTGTCTTGTATTTGGACTTTTTCCCCATATCTGGCTGCAACATGCTGATGAGAGAAAGAAAGAGAGCAAAAGCTAAAGAGGACACATTCATCTGGGCCTTGTATGCTCTTCACCTCGTGTCCAACCTTTATGATTAGACATAACTTGATCTTTGTGGTGAGTTAAATGAGTACAGAGATTTAAACATGCAGTTTGGTGAGGTTTGCACAGTTGAGATCCTTACATGCACACTAATATGAAACAAGGCCAGAACAATCATTACTGCAGTTCAAAGGAATTCATCTTTTCCCTTTTTTCATTTGTTTGTCCCATTTTGATGGTGAACTTTGCTGAATGGGCGACAAAAGGGAGACGGGGATTTGCTAAATCTCTCTCCGAGAAGATTGTGACCCAGAAGTCTTTTGAACAAAGACGGGGTCAGTGGGAGAGTGACGGAGAGACAGAGGCCGACAGTAAACCACGGCGCGATTATAATCATGCCTCCCGCAAAGAGGCAACAGAAGGATCGCTAAAGGGCAACGGGAGTCATCATCAGCATAAATTCAAGATGTCAAGATGTTCAGGCAGTGAGATATCTCACTCTTGGAGCCCGACCTCCCACAGCCAGTGACGAACGCCGGCCTGACAGCCGACGCATGAGATAAGCTCAGAGAAACACGACGAGAGAATGATGGAGGGATCGAGGTGGGAAAGAAGCAGAATTTTAAAAAGGGAGGCGCAAAGACTTGAGGGACTTAATGTCGTAAGGGTTGAAAATACATTAATCATAAAATGTATTGATTCGGCTGAATCACTGTATCACTTTAAAACCAAATTTGGTGTAACCATCTCTTTTTTTAAAGTCCTTCACTGCTCACCACTTCAATAAATGAAATTTATTATTGAATATTTATTTCTTTAAAAATCTATTTTTAAACATTATTTATGATGATGCTGCGGTGGGGGGGTTAGAAACAGGAGCTGATGAATCTGCATATGGGTGGAAGGTGTCTAGTTTTGTCAGATGGTGCAGTAAACATATATTCTCAAGTTTATTATTTGTGAAATATGAGGATATTGGCTATCGTGTGGGAATAAACACACATTGTCCATTTGCAAATATTTATGTGAATTACGTGAAAATATGTATGAAGCCTTTCTGTCCGCTTTCATCTTCACGTATTATTCTCAACAGCAAAATACCGTATGTGACGTATTATTCTCAATAGTTGTCTCTCCTCTTTGGTGAAATACCTTTTTAAAAGATGTATACAGCTACTGTGTAGCTCTTACACGAAAGATTATACTGTTGTTCAATGACATGTAACCAAACAGCTTCTGGTAAAAAGCCAAAAGGTTTTTTTAGCTGTTTATTGTATATTAAAAAGGGCATTTTCTCCATAAGCTAATCAGCATTAAAATGCCAGAGCCTTATACAATGGTCTGACTGCCTTTGTGGGAAAAAAAAACAAATAAAAAGAACAAAAGAAATCCACTGGGACCGGCAGCTAAACAAAGCATCTTTTTGACCGGCAGCATGTGAGAGGTGAGGTGACGGCCCGGGGGACATCTCAGGGTGAGCTGTGCCAAATCACGTTCCACATGTGGCTCCGAGGCCGTTCAGACAAGGGATTTCAATTTGCAGAGCAACAAAACATTATTTGACAGCAACATCCATAACAATGACAGCACAAATATTATTTTTTTTCTGCAGAGCGGCAACCAAACTATACCCAAATTACTGTGCTGAATTCAATGTGGAGAATAATTCATGACATGGGTGGCTGGCTCCTGGAGATAGTGGGGATTATCTTTTCAGTTATTGTTGACGGTTTCCTTAAAAAGTACGTTGTGCACAGCAATATGGCGAACTAACACCCTGTGCTGTACACTGTGTTCCATAAAATGTATATTTTTTCTTTCTCATATAGGGATGAACTCAATAAAACAGGAACACACAGAAAGAGCAGAGTCAAAAGTCGCATTCGAAAAGAAAATGCCGACCCCGAGACACGAGGAAGAGCAGCTTCTATGTTTGTTGTATTTTTGAGAACTAAAAAGTAAAAGAGAAAAAATTGGATTGGATTTTTGACCCCAAAAAGGATTTCATTAGATTTTTGAATTTGTTTTTATTTCATTTTTGAAGTTGAAAATTGAATTAAATTAGGTTATGTAACCGGACAGATTATAACACGAGTCCAAAACGTTACAATTCTTTTTTTTCATCTCTCAATAGGTGCATCAAACTATTCTGACAGCAAGCTTAGTCCAGGGAGAGACAAGCGGCGACCGAGAGCGTCCCTGTGACTCAGAGAAACAATAACAATTTAGCAGTTAAGGGAGCAGGTGTCAAAAACCGGAACCAAAGATATGACACTGAGAGGCAAAAACAAACTAAAATGTGATAGATAAATGAGAGAGGGTTGAAAAAAGAGCGCTAAATATATGCCTTCTGCAGGGAGGACTCGTGATTTTCACTTCACACAAGCGCAGGGCGAGAGAGAGAGAGAGAGTATGAAACCGTGAAGCTTGCCACTGTGCTTGGTCAGCAGGAAATATCTGACATGTTTTGCACTTTTTTTCTTTTACCGTGACATATCTTTTCTTCTGAGCGAATAATTTATTCAGTCTGAATGTTTTCCGGGCAGGGAAGAGGAATGTGGGTCATTCTCAAGGATGTAAACTCATTTAGTCTTCAAAGGCCAATTTGTCCTTTTGGAAGAAATGCAAGTTTTCCTTCTGCAATAATTCTGACCTTGTGTCACTTCGAAAAGCTGATTGAGAGAAAAGACAAATTTGGAAAGGCCTCTGGACAAACGCACACACACACGCGCACACACATGCACGCACGCATCCTGGATGAAGACAGACCATCTAGTTTAGCCTACAGATTCCTCATGAGGATTGCTGGTGTTACGGCTGCAGCTCACTGACAGTGAAGTGAGCAAGAAAGCTAGCGAAGCACATTCATTCTTACATAATTGCTCAATAAGCACCTACGGCAGCAATACATTCACCTCATGTTATTGTGTGTGTTTAAAGTTAACTTTAATACAAATTCAAAGCATTAATTATGTTAGTTGTATTGAGTAAATGACATAGCAACATATACTCTACAGAATGACAAATAAACACGGGTTAGAATAGTCTCTTTGTAAAGGATACAGAGACCACGTCACAAAAGAGAACAAAGGAAGCTCTGGCAGACGGGGAAGTGGAAAAATGTGAGCGCCAGAAATACGATTAAAAAAAACTCATGTAAACTAAAAGAATCTGCACAAGAAGAAACATCTGCGTGAAAGGTTGCCCAACAAACGGAGGGAGAAAAACTAAATAGAATAAAATGCAAGTTTTGGGCGCGAGAAGGAAGTGACAGAAGGAGACAAATACTTTGGGTGCAACCTTTGAAGTAGAGGAACAAATCAATACCTCAGAGAGAAAGGAGAAATAATAGCCATGACTGTCAGAACATTTCTTTTTTTACAAGACGTGAGCTAACATTTTTTTTCTCTCTCTACAGAAACTACAGACGACCTTGAGAATCCAAACACTGTGGGTGATTATCAAAAATGTTCTGCTCATTTATGGTATTAAAGCTGATTAATTCAGACAAAACTGCACTTTCTCTCCCAACTTCAGTCTATTACAATTCTCCTTAATTAAACTACAACATAGTTCCTTATACATGCCCTCTATAACTATACACAGTAGCATTTGGTTGCAAACCTTTTAGATCTCCGTATTGTACAATATATTATAATATTTTCATATTACAATTCAGCCATCTTGTCTTTCTGCAAAACAAATTGTGATGTGTGCTTACGTAGATTGGCTCCAACTAATTTCAACATGACATCGGTCCATTATTTAATCTGCAGCCTTAAAGGACAAAGAAGGTGTCTGTGTGTGTGTGTGTGTGTGTGCGTGTGTGTGTGTGTGGAGACAGAGTCCTCTGCAGTTACAGTTTGAATCCATCCGCCTTTTAGTTGGATCCAAAGTATTTGATTGAAATCCCTCGACTATGTTCATTGATGAGATTATTTTTATAATTCTGGGGAATAAATCAGAGCACAAAAGCTCATGTCTCTCTAACTTCTGTTGCTCTGGGACTTCAACGGTTGATTAGGTTTACGGACAAATACTCCTTTGGTTAGGTAATTGTTGCATTTGTAAAGCATTTATTTCCTCAGGCGCTTCACAATTTGCCTCTCATTCATCTTTTCAACTACATAATGTGACCATTGGGAGCAATTTGGTCCAGCGGGTTTCCCAAGGACAAATCAGCATGTGCACAAGAGGGGGGGCAGAAAAAATCATGGTTTGGGTTCACGTGACTTCATACTTATAAATATATCCATGTGTTTAATGTTGTGGAACTATAACGTCCATGGTTAAAAGAAACCAACGTTGATGTGAGAGCAGGAAAAGAACAGTTGAATCCTGCGTTTAAGTTGTTTGTGGCTCTACAACAACGTCGCGCTACTTTCTCCTCCACGTCAGCCTTCTTATGCTACAGGGTTTTGTCATTTCACAGTAAACAAATGACATTCTTTTTGGCAATCGCTGAAACAGCCGCCGCTCCAATTTCCCTCGAGGGTCTTACACAGAGAGAGGGTGTTATGGGTAGGTGTAGATCTCAGCAGCTCACAGGGGAGCCAAAGTGAATACCTCAAACAACGTGTCATCCAGCTGTGTGTGTCGAACAACCTAATCATCCATCAATTCATTTATTCATCCATTCACTATTTTGAACCAATTATTGTTTTTCCTGCGTTTCGTACCACCAACGTCAGGCCTTGAAACAAGAAACCCATTGTCTTTGTCATAGAGATCAAAACCAGGTCCAGTAGAACCTTTCTGAACCTTCAATCACTGTATTCCAACGGCATTTGGATGAGTTTGATCGTCTGAAGAAAATTAAAGCTATTTAATGGCCATTCAAACTTTAGATGTAATTACAGCGACCTGGAGCTCGATGCTTTGAAGCCTCCCACTGCTGGAGGTTTTCCTCTCACTCCCTGCACTGCCGGTATTTAAATGCTGCAGGCAGATCAGAGATTGACTTGTGTGGGGTTCATTTGTCACCATGCATGCCTCACAGGCAGGTTGGCTCAGGTGTGCAGTGTCTCGAACACTTTCGAAAACAATTTGAAAATCTCCGCATTGGCTGACAGAAGCTCTCAGTGTGGCAATATACTGTAGCAGATTGGTGAAAGAACTCTTGGGCCACAATCACTCGTTTTAATCATTGATTCATCTGTAGATTTGAATCAATTTTAATTAATGATTGAAATGTAAATGTGAGGTTAAACGTAATGGTTGAACCTATTAAATGTGTGGAGATTCCCCAAGACCAGGGAGGATTTATTTATCTGAATTTCAATACAATATCCAAAGATGGCGGATTTACAATGATATGAAAAAAAAGCAAAGTAGAAATTCCTTCCTTTGAAGATGCTGGAACAAGTTAATTTCTGGCTTCTTTCTTTACGCTCTTTTGTTTCACAGTGTTCAAAGTAAAAAAAGAGAAATGTTGTTTGGCGAAATTACACCTGCAGCAACTCCTCAGATAACACGTTATAAAAAGTAATATATCTTTGAATAAACATCTCGCTTGCTCTTTTTGACTAAAGAAAGCCATTGAAGATTTAATTAGAACGTTTTTTCAGGGTGTGAACGACTCGTAGTCGCTCAGGGTTTTCTATGTTTTGTGAATTGTGTGCAAACGGTCTAGAATGCTTGTCTATTTAGCGCCCGTTGTAAAACTGAATAAACCGACCGCTCTGAATCTGCACACTATGCTTCCTCACCGAATAAATGTACATTACATACAATATTGGTCGATCTTCTAATTTATCCTACAAACTCAGATGCCAATTGTTTAAGTTGCATTTGCAATTGTTGGTGATTATTCTGCCCTTCCAAAGCTTGAAAAGCAATTACTGTACTGCCAGTATTTCCGTTTCCAAACAGGGCATGCATACATCATGGTTGATAAACTGCATATGAAACTAATAATTATAATTATCATTAAAACATAACAAAAAACAATTATGTCCAAAACAAAGAAAAACATTAATTATAAAAATGCCACAATACTGACAATACTGAATGAATTAAACGTTATTCAAGGCCGAGCTCGGGTCAAAGTTCACGGCCACATACAGTAGGGGTGCATGCACATCCCACTATCACCGGGTCGGTCCACGACCATCAGACATGACTTACATTTTGACGAAGGGGTCAGAGTAGCCGTTGGAGTCCATAGCTGCCAGATGTGCACAGCGTATGATCCCTACCAGCAGGCAGCCCTTCTCTGTGTTATAGCACAGTGACACCAGGATGCGTCCCCGCTGGGAAACACAGAAAACAACAGTGTCAGATGCAGCACCTGTTTTCAACCTGACAATTCCCTCTTCAGTGAATGCAGAGTGGGGAATCCTGCAGCTTGGGCACCACTTTCTCAAACACTATTCACTCAAAGCAACACAAATGAAACTATTATGCAATCACAATAAACTTGAAATGATTATAAAAGAAAATGTAATTTGCTGCGACATGTTCCATCACCTAGTATACAGCGTTTCTTTTTGCATCTGCTGGCAACTAGTGCAGTTAAATTAAAAGCTTATAATTAAAAGGCCTCATTTGAGCCCAGCTAAATGGCACTGCTCATTTTCTCCTCTTAATCTGAATCTAATCAGAGACCAAAAGCTATTAGCCTCTGTCTTCAAAATCCTGAGCAGAAATTAGACAGCGTCCACCAGAGCAGGAATGCACCGAGCAGACAGCCGCGGTGTAATTTACCACCTGTTCCTACGGGGACACCTGGAGAAGTGTCCCTTTACGTTGGTCTACGAGAGGTCATGCCTTAGAAACATATACCAATTAAGAAAAAAATTAAGCTTTCGTTTCCTTAAAAGATGATTAAAAAGGGAAAACATTGCAGTTGCTGAACAGATTAATGGTGTCAGATATAGCAGAGTGATAGGAAGTTACAGTGTGTCTTGATGATGGTTATGATTGTGATGATAAGGCTGATGATACTTTTACCTCCTCCTCTGCCACGACCGCTCCCTGCTCCACCGTTGGGTTGTTAGCATCTTTATTCTGAAATGAGAAAGAGACACATAATGGTTATCGCCCACATAGCCGCCCCTATTACATCTATTACATATCATAATGCGGCGTTTTAAATTGATGACTGATTGTCCCCTTGGGAGATAGGACACGTCTTGACATACACGTCTACACAAACCCATTTGGTTTGCGTGCTCGGCCACACACACACACATAATGAACCTACCTGTGCAATTCTCTCCAGGCCCATATTGTAGCGCTTGTTCTCGCCCTCTTTCAGTTTCTTCAGAGCCACTCGCACCTCTCCAATGAATTCGTTTCGTCCGAGTCTGTCCATGTCACACACACACAGCCTACACACACACACACACACACACACACAAAGAAAAGAGAATTAAGACAGTCAGTAAAAACAGCTGGACCACCGTTTAGCTTTGCTCATTACTCGTAGACCCTGCAAAATGTATCCAAAGTGCACCTGAACCATCCTCCATCTGCAACAAAAGCAGGGTTCATGGTGGTGTCACGAGAGCAGCCTCGTGAATCGTTAGAAATTAAGTAACTGCTGAAGAGAAAAAAAGGGGAGGGGGGGGTAATTTGCTTGGGTCCATCAGACACTAATTTATTGTAATTGAAATGAGTGAGACTGTTTCGAGCAGGTAATCAGTTAAAATACATTGATTTTGCGTTTTATGATAGCAAAACAAATCAAAAGGAGTGCTGATCTGAATGCATTATGCCTTGAATTTATAATTCAAGGTTACTTTCCAGGGAGTAACAGTTGGGAAATCAACTGTGATTCAAAATACAAAACAAAGCTCCACAAAGAGTCCACAGACATTTGTAGACGTTTGAAAAAAAGTGACAACTGAATCCGTTTGTCAATTTTTCCACAGCTCTGTGAAATGATTTCCTCCACAGCGCACACTTACTGAAAGCTACGGCGATGCTTGATGGAGGGTGAATATTCCATCAGAGCTCGACAGCACAGGCTTCACAGCCCATCACCTGCTACGATATTCCCTCTGTGCTCAAATATTCCCAGACGGAGTGTCACCGCTCTTGATTTCTACCTTGCTCTCTCCGGCTCCTCGCACACACCTCCTCCCCCCCGGCCCCCCCATCTTCCTGTTCTCTTCCTGTCCCTCTGACGCTTGGATGTTTGACATGCTGGTTGCAGCCTTTTAGTCATAACGAATGAGTATCTCTAGCCGAAGCTTCAGAGTAACTCTGACTCACGAGCGCGGGCTGTCGGATGATTAACGTGCCTTTGCTCCGTCATACGTGCAGGGTGTCTGTGATGAAATGAAGGTTGCAGGGAAATGTGACACCAGTTCCGCCCGAAACCTCCTCACGTTCAAACGCTCCATTCATTTCCCCGCACCCCACTATTTCCACCCGTAGAATTCCTGTATGAACCGAGCAGGTGCTCGTGGAGTCTGTTCAACCTGTGGTGCCAAATTTAGTGTGGAGTCGCTGACAAAATCCGCCGAGTTCCATTAGATAATCAGAGAGTTTTAGCACGCCGGCTTGGTGTCTGTGATGGTGAAAGTGTCTCTTTATTGGTGTCAAAAAGGCAGGAAGTGTGAAGGAGAAAACGCACTTTGATTACAACAAGGACGACCATTGCTGTGTTTTTAAAATAATCATTTAAAGGATCATTGCCATAAAGTATTAAACAATGAGTCAATTTGAATGATAAAGCATGTTATATGCCACATGATTTTTGTGGAAAATCTGAAAAGCTGGTTGTAGAATAAAAGCAAATTGGACTTCAATAACCGAACAATGTTTTTAAAGAGTTAAAGGAATCTTCTTCTACCATCGTTCCACCAGTTTTGTGAGGCTGTAAGAAGTCTCACCAGTGCTTTGGACTAAATGCAATGACAACATCTACACAAGGGTTATTGTAGAATACTTTACAACATTCCATGGCAATGCATTAAATAGTAGTTGAGTTATTTCACTCAAAACCACAAATGTGGGCCGAGTGCTGGCGATAGAAAAATGTCAGAGAATCCCCCTAAATCAGAAGCACTCATCGTGTGTAACACATGCATGTCTGTATGAAACATAAGCAATTCATTCTAGTTGTTGAGATATTCCTTTGGGAAATTTGGAGAAGTGACCGACAGCACGACATTGCCGCTGGCAAATCTAATAGAGACACGAGCGTAAAAATATCACTTTTCGTGACATATTGCACCTAAGCAAAGTTGTTTTACTATACATCACACCGGAGGCACCCAGAAGGCAATCTCAGCCTCGCCTCTCACACAACACCACATCAGGTCCCATATTTATCCCCATCTTCCCACAACCGAGGTCACTGAGAGTCTATTAAGGCCCGATGGAGAGATGAAAATGAGAGGGGGACCATACATTGGGCCGACATCATCTTGCTACACCTTTAACACACATACACGCACATAAACACTTGCTTCAAGATCATTTTAGTGATGAAAACCACGAGGAGTAATAAAGATGAGATTCTTCCCAGTTACATAAATGTACTTTGCATCTTTTAGAAAGGCAAGCCTGAGCCATTATATGGGGGGAGGGATTGAGACGCGACATTACCGCTGTCACTGTGTCCTAAATCAACTCACATTTGCCCAAAGGCAGATTGCCGCCCAGACAGATAGCGTGAACCTAATCCCACAATCATGTCGGCCTCACTGCAGTAAAACAAAACTCGGAGCGACGCAAACTGTTGACCTAAGGACAGACTTCAAAGGAAACTACTTGTTCACGGTGCAGTTTTTCATGAAATCAGCACTGAAAAAGATACAGTTTTTACATGAGATCAGTAATGAATGTTCTTTCAAACTAGACCATTACACTTGGACGACTAAGTAACAGAGTAAATTACATTTTATGCAGCTCAGGCGGCCTTGCTGCACCATTTGAAGGATTAGCCGGTGTGAAGCCAAACCTGAAGTCTGGATCGAGGACACTTGATATTAGTTTAATCAGCTGATTCATTCTTCATAACAGACTGGACCTCCAGTGGCCCTTAGAGATTAAGTCTGCCCACTGAGGAATATTTGAGAATAGAATTCTCTTCCAGCCATTTCATAACCTGTCGTTCCTTTCTTTTTAAGTGCATGTCGCTTCTGTTTAATGGCTTTATATAATCATCGCAGCTGCAAATGAGTGAATGAACGGCGAAATAAATAAATAAATCCACGAGAGTCCTCTCTCTCCACTTTATTCAAGGCATTAAGGTTTTCCTATAATTTATCCTCCAGAGTAAGAGCAGTGCTGTGGGACGGACTTGACACAAAAGTACATTCTTCATCAAGGATCCGTTTTTCTGTCTCCGCACTGGCAACAATAATTCAGCAATGTATCCGCCAATGCATTGTGAACAACCCATTGCAGTGTTTATTAAATATGCACGCCTCACTGTGTAAAAGAGATTGGGATCACTAAGGCAACGCCAGCCCTGGAAGCAACATTGCTATTAAAATAATTCATACAGCAGAAATATGTTAATTCACTGAAATTGCAATTAAATTGTAAAACGTTTTAATGCACAAACAAGTTGATGAAAATATGAACAGAAATTACTATTACAGTTTGTGATGGTGTATAAACATCTGGCCTGCTGTCGGACATTACCCGATCAAGCCATTTGAATTAATATCGGCTGATCGTCCGATATTGATATCAGTGCATTTCTACTTTTCATGTGTCAAATGTTTCACTATTATTCTATTGATGGTTGGTAGTTTAACATATTGATCACTAAGTATTTACACCCAGTAATTACATCTCCATATATTCGTATTAGCGGTTAATTAGTGGGTGAGTTCTTTATCTCCTAACTGGATTTAAACTGTTGATCTAAAAAAAAGGCATTCTAAGGAAACGATGCATAAAAAGAATCCAGCCAAATTGTATCAATTTGTTCACATCCTCTGTGTTTACTAAACACTATTGCTGATGCAAACCAAAGATTTCCCACAGCCACTCGCAGTCAAATCAAGATAAAGGTTTCACCAAATCCAATAGGAGTGAAGTATGGAGGATTGCAATTTACAATACCATTACAATTTACAATACTTTACAATGCGGCGAAGCCTCTGAGGATGTGCGGAGAGTAGAAGATGAATGAAAAGAGCTGGTTAGACATAATCCCTGATCTGACTTGAAAACGCAGGATGAAATGGCTTTGCTCTGACGGCGGCCCGGTTTAACTTCACACCTTCCAGGCCTTCCGGCACGTTACATTCACAGGTTGGCTGGACAGAGTTCGCCTGCTGAGTAGTTTGCAGAGCACGAAGATCAAAGAGCACAGCTTCCTGTCGTCCGCACCCTGCTCGGACCTCCAGAGCGGGCGCACCCCCGTGAGTAAACATCTAAGCGGGGGGGGGGTTCCCTCTATATTTCTCCCATCTCTGACTGTGAACCCGGTCTGTCTCTTGGCTGAGGAATCGTGCTGCACCTGAACACATCCACAGAGCGCTGGAGCAGATTCCCTCCATGTGGCTCTTGATCTATCGCTTGCTTACCCCTCCCCCCACCCCACGGATCCGTCCTGACAGACACTGTTTCATTCACTTTGGCTCGTTTGTCGTCTCCTGTGTTTATCGCTGTCCTCATTCTTTTGTTTTTTTTGGCTTCCCTTTGAGTAAACGCCTTCTCGTCGCTCGCCCTTTTCCTCGGCTAAATGAATTTCCTCATTCATCTCACTGCATACTCCACGAGCCAATATCTGTGTCTTTCTCTCAATGAACTCATGGATTCTATCCATCCCTCTCCTCTGTCATCTTCCTCGACGTTGGCCTCCCTAGTGACCTTTCCCACACCGGTTCGCCTGTCACTCGACATCATTCATACTTCCCCTCACTCTCTTTGTTGATGTTGGCAGACACCTCTTTACGTCTCTCTCTCTCTCTCCATCTCTCGCTTGACACTGCTCACACACCTCCTCCTCCTCCTCCTCCTCTTGCTCTTCCTCGGTTTTGGCTTCCCCGCGGCCCCTTGCTGGTTTGTGTCTGTGTACCACGTCCTTGAGCAGAGGTCAAGTGGGTTCTCTCCAGTTTGCGGCGCGTGACCTTGCGTGGTCGTTTTTGCGTACGTGTGCATTAGTGACTTTGCGGGGGGAGAGACAATGTTATTTCAGAATGTATGTGTTTGCAAAAGGAAGTGTTTTATTTGCCAATGTGTGTATTTTTTTAGCAACATACGGAGGAGGGGCCATTCGTGTTGTTTCCTGCCAGTGATTGCCACACACACACACACACCTAACAGCCTGCATTTGTGTGCATGCGCTGGATTCATGTGTGTGTGTGTGTGTGTGTGTGTGCATCTATGCATCCCATCCAACCCTGTTGTGAATCTGCTGAGCAGACTGACGGCGATCGGACGCAGCAGACACATTCACAAACAAAACACAAGTGTGTGTCTGAATTAACTTGCGCATGCAGGATGACGGGAGTGCGTCAGACTTTTTGGGCCAAGATGGCCACGCTTGACCTACATCCCTCCATGTCGCGGAGGCAACACCTGGGCTGTTACCGCAGCAACAGCGAGCGGAACAGTTGGCCGGCGTCGCCTGGTTGAGATCATTAACTACCTGGTAAAGCCCACCGGGAGGTAAAGACGGCTGATGGCAGCTTCCCCCGAAGGATCGGAAGCTATGGATCTCCTCCACCTTAACAAACTGGTCATCGGGCTGCGGACTGACTAAAAACAGGGAGCAGCTCCTACCTGAGCGTTTTGGTGGTCATGTCGGCCGCTGTGATGCCATGGTACATCAGTGTTTCGTTCCACACCGGGTTCAGCGTGTTCTTCAGAGTTTTTGTGCGTAGCTTGTTGGCCTGAGGAGAGAAAGAAGCAGGAATGTGTAAAGGAACCCATGGACACCAGAGAAAAGAACAGAGGAGGAGGAAGAAGATTTCAAGCAAACTTCTCTGATCGGAAAGAAGAATAAAAGATCACAATAAGAAAGGGAGGGTAGTGACACTAAAATATTAAGAAGGGAAGCAAAAAAAACATCATTTATTTCTCTCCCTGGGGAAATCGCAGACATGTGCTGCCTGCTGTTTGGAGGACTCGAGGCTTCCCTCGCCTCACCTGTCCTTCTGTCTCCTCCCCAACATGATATCACAGCCCAACCTCTGAAACGAGCACTGTGTATCACACACTGCACGGCAGCCAATTCAATTGCATAACAAATACAGCATGAAATATTTAATCTTTTCCAAGAGACGCATTGCTCACTACCGCTTGATGTGGGAGCTTTTGGAGAGCTCCCTTTGGAGCCATAGGAGAAATTATACATACGACTAACCTAAAATTTGTAAAATCTGTGGAGTGTCCCTCCACACTAATCAGCCACGAGCACGCTAGTCTATTTTTGAGTCAATGCCACATCAAAAATGTCCTGTCACAATGTGTATTAATCCGCCACGGAAAATGGTCCCGAACAAATGCACAGTTTATCATTTTGCGGCTTGAGTGAACACTCAATCAGAATAAAGTGCCGAGCTTTTGGGGAGTTATTCCTTTGAAAGTGTGTATTTGTGACCCATTTAAAGTAGGAACATGTTTGCTCGGGGCTGAATGCTGCAGCTCGGCATGGAGGAGTCTGACAGTATTGAGGGACCGAGTTGATTTAGCTGTTTTGCAGAAAAAATGTGTAGCCCTAGCTTTAAAAATGTCAAGGAGGATATTAAAAATGTGACAAATAAGTGCATCAGTTAAACTCTTTCTTTCAAAATGAATATTTGACATTTGATTATTTTTATTAATTTAGGCCTTTACTTTTACTTCAAGTAAAGGATCTGTGTTCATACACTTCATAGCTTTCATTTTGTACTGAATATCCAGCTGCTGTACACTATTCTCTCCAAATACTCTTGATTATGTCTGAAGCTTTGCAGATAAACACTTCGTCTCACCCTCTCTTTTCATTTGTTCCACACTCCCAGTATTCGCAATTTTCTGCTGGAAATATGTGGCTTATCTAAAAGACTCAGCTCCCTCAGAGATTGTTGCATGAATGGAACAAGTGTTTTCAATTTATGTCGTTTGTTTGACTCATTAATGTGCAGGAGATGACGTTCGCAGGCAGAATCGGGAATTACAGCGGTGTCGCACAGCTGTATGTGGGCCACCGCTGCTCGACCGAACAAACAGCAGTGATTTCACAAATGATCACCACTACTTGACTTGAATGTTTTTTGACACATACTTCAACATGATCCATCTGCAAATATTCCAAACACCAGCTCCCTCTCACAGCCCTCCCTCGCTCCTTGCCTCCATCTCCCCTCCACTCGAGTGCTTTTGCATCTGTTTCTAAATGTTTTATCTCTCGCCCTCCATCTGTCCATCACACTCTCCATCTGTCCATGGATCTCTTTTACTTATTTCACACTCCCTTTTCTCTCTCCATCCCATACTTCCCAGAGCTGTGGATGACTGGGAATGGGAACGATGAAAATACCAACGCGGAGGCTCAAGCAATTACTGGGGTCCACACGTGTTTGCGTCTTAACACCGAGTGAGATCAAGGAAGAATCTCTGTGTGACTAAAACCTTGGCAAGTGTCTGTATTTACGCAAGGTCATGCGCCGCGTGTGTTGCAGTAGATGTTCCACATCACAACGACAGCATGTAGGACTCCGCACTGGTTAAAGATCACGTGCAGGAGGATGAAAGTCTGAGAGAGAAGCATAACGAGTCGGTCAGAGGAGACACTCGCCTCTCCTCTCTGTGTGTTTTGAAACTGAAACCTTTCGTGTTCCGTAGAACTCGCTGCATCGTGGACACGGAGCAGGTGTGTTGTCGCGCGCCCGCTGCCCGCTGCCCGCTTCCACTTTAAAGGGCTGTTCATTGGTACTTACCTACTCATTGACGCTTTCGCCGCGCCCCCCCATCTCTACACCCCCCCCATCAACACTTGCCTGTTGACGTGAGCCGTGTAACAATCCTCCCTGTTTCCATGACAACCACCTGCTGCTGTCCTCCCCTCATCTGTCTCTCCCTCCCTTCATTCTCTCTCTCTCTCTCTCTCTCTCTCTCTGTCCCCCTTTTCTCACTCTCAGTTGTGTCCGCTCACTCCACACACTGTCGGTATTTTCAAGGTCAAAGAGGGTCACAGCCAAATAGTGAGGTACAGACGGGTAGAGCGGGGGGGAGAGAGGGGGAGGGCGGGGGTGCAATAACAATGGGAGAGAAAACAGCTGGAGGACAAAAGTTCTCCAGACGTTGTTATTGTTAGCACCTCAGACAGTTATTCAACCTATCCTGGCTGGGCGTCCTCCCCGTTACTTGTCTCATTTCGTGTGTCAACCTTAAGCCAAAATGGCCGACGACAAGTTGCATTCTGCCCGTAGCCGGGGGTTTCCTGTTGTGGTTGAGCCTTATCTTCCCTGCTTCCTGAGCTGCAAGACAAGAGCTGTGCAGCAGACCGGAACGCGCTTGTGCTCGATACAGCCGAGCATCGGACGAGCCACATTAAGCGGTAACCGAATGGAGTGCTCCCTGCTCAATGGATCAAAACGACACATTAAATTGGACCACTGCCCTTTTATGTTTCCCGCAAGAGCATATTGACCTTTTTGTGGCGTCTAAATAAACAGGGGAGATCTTCAAAAGAAGTAAATAACTGTTTTTGTTTTCTCCTGTTAAATAATGAATGAAATGGTTCCTATTTTTAGTCTTTTCAATAAATAATCTTTTTTTTTTTTGGCCAGCAGCTTCTTCTGTGTGATGTGGGACTTTCCTGAGTGCGTCTCAGTGTCGGTGTGGTGGCATGTTACATTAATTGCCACTGAGGTGAGTTTGGAGCAGTGACCTTGCTTGCTCCAGGGAGAAGATGAAGCTTGACGTATGGATCAGCCAGTCCATTGGAGTCCATGGCTTTCAGTCCCTGTGGACACAAGCAAACACACACACACATTATGTTTTGGCAAAGGGAACGTCATCAGGTCCTCAGACGTTTTGCTCAACTGACAGTGTCGCAAAACGAAAAAGAAGATAAGACAGTTGTCGTCTACTGTAGTGAAGGCTCAATAGTACTCCGGGGCACGTCTTTCCATGCCGCTGTATTCTACCATCCTGGGCTCCTTCGTGTGGTCCTCAAAGGAACCGCCCAGTGAGATCTACATAATTAACATCATGTGTCAGAACACAGCAGAAGATACAAGGCGCCCTTGCACGATGTCCAAACAAAAATGTGACAGCTTCAGCAACATGGCAGCACTATCCCACATCTCACAGTGCCATTAGATGATTTTGTCTCGAATTGACAAGCTGCAGAGAGTTTGTGGGGAAAAAAGCTCATTTAAAAAGGTTGCGAGGAAGCAGTCTGACGTCTCGTGCCGTTGTAAACGCCTTAAGGGAGATGTGTTTTCATTGGGACTTCAAGGAGGATTATGCGACTACGCAGATGTCTGTTTATATGGAGAACATATTAAAACTGTGTGTACCTTTGCCTTGTTAATGGTACAATGGAGACAGTTGTTCTCCTGATCAAAGAGCAGGGTGAACTCCAACGTTCCCAAGTAGGCTGAAAACAACACAAACCACGGCAATTAGAGGGGACAGAAACGGATAGTCTCCAACACACAAACACACACACACACTGAAAAGCTCTGAGTCATATTTGTAGCGGATGGTCTTGAAAAACATAATGCTGCTTAATATAAATTGATCTGTCTTGTTTGATTACTCTTTGGGAATGAAAATAAACTTTGCAGGCTGAGTGTCCCTACCGCTACGATATCTAATAAATCACTGGAGAGGCCGAGTCACCCAAAGTGACAAACACTTGGAAAAATGCTCGACTCCACAATTACTCTGAAAGCATATGCTGTGCCTCGGAGCAAAAGACATGAAGTAGGTTTCAGTAAAAACACAAAAAAGAGGACTTTCCTCTCTAAAATGTAAGAGGTGTTTATTTTTCTTCTTCTGCATTATCTTGAAATTTTCCCGTGAGTCAAAATACACACAATATGGACACAACTTTCACAGCACTAAGCTTTGTTAACCCCCATCAGAACTCACTGTCCTCATCGTCAGAGTCCACCGCCTCCTCTCGGTCTCCGTCGTTGTCCAACCTCCTCTCCCCATCCTTGTATCCTACACCCGTCTCCCCGTTGAAAGTCTCCTCTTTTAGGATCTTCTTCTCCCTCGGAGGCGGTGGCGTGCAGGGGTAGTCGTGGAAACGGGGGAAGAAGTCCGAGATCTGTGGGATGGGGAGGATTGGGCCCGGGCACACGTTGATGGCAAAGTGCTCCTGCATAGAGATCTTGACCGGCGAGGGAGGGGGCGGACCAGCGGGGTGGGGTGTCGCCGAGGGCGACGTGGCCGATGAGGAAGGGGCGGAGGTGGAGGAAGGGGGGATCGCCAGGTGGGAGGTGGAGGGGGGCGGCGGAGGTTTGGAGACACTCATGTGGACTGTGGAACGAGACTGCGGGATGAGAGCGGATACGGGAGGAAGAAATGAACGAGGCGAGAAAGACAAAGAGAATAGCAGCTGGGATCATAGCGGAGGGATGGGGGGGGGGTAGGGGGGGGACGTGAGGCTCAGAACTAGAAGAGGAAAAAACTAAATAACTGTCAACATCGACAAGGCGTTCAGAAAAAAAAAAAAAAAAACACAGCACATCTAAAACATCTGAAGATAAGTCACGTTTCTATTTCCATCCATTAATGCAAAATCACAACAGCCAAAATAGAATCTGCCAGAACCTTTGGCACTTGAAGTGTGACTCACACGTTGTGTCACACACCAAGTCTGTGCACTCAATTATTATTCAAACCGAGTGCTATAAAGTATGAACAAGTGATGTCACTTGTGTATCTGCACTTCACTCTAATCCATCCCTTATCTCTCTGTTTCACTCCTCTCTCTCTCTCCCTCTCTCTCTCTCACGCTCATCTGCAAGTCCCCTGAAATATTTACATAACACTATTTGAAGACATTCTCGGTCCTTAATATATTTGTAACCAAATGGAGCAAAAAAACTGCTGGCCAAAAATCCAACTGTGTTAACTGCTTTCCTATTTTCCTCACTTTGATTCAGAGAGATCAAACACACCTTTTATCATTTTTATCTCATGAGCCCCCTCTGTGCACCCGTGTCTTTATTGTTTCAAGAACAGGTGTTATTCCAGGGATCACAGAGACAAACCTCAACCTGATCCCCTAGTTTACTGGTCCTTTACAAATCCTGTTTAATAAAAATGCATATGGTCTTTACCTAAAATGCACCTTTATCACATGACATAGCATGCCACTTGTCACATGTCACAGCCCATCGATTAAATGCCTGTCCATTATTTCCCTGCTGTTGTAATGTCAACTTGAATCCTCTGTTCCTTTTGGTCGACACATTTTGTCTGCGTTTGCATCAGTGTTGTAATTTCCAAATAAATTATTTTCCCTAAATGAAATGAAATATTGCTCTTTTTGTTTTTGACTGATGCGTCTGTTGTGTGAAAGGAATTGGCTCACTGTCATTCATCTTGTGTTGCATTGAGAACCTCAGAGTGGACTCACGGCTACAACTACTGATTACTATTCGAGAAACAAGTTTAAAATACGCAGAATTATTGTGACTTTGCAAAAAGAAACGACTTTCCATCGGCAATCAAACATGAAGATACGGTTTCTGCTGGTAATGAGTGAATTGTTTGGGCAATGGTTAATGTCCTCCCTCTTTTGTAGCTGACAGATGCCGTTGAACCAGTGGAATTTTCCTTGTGGATAATGTGTTAAAATGATGAAATAATGTATATCCCACTGAATGTAGTCATATGCAGTATGCACGTTGCCAGCAGATTACATTACATACATTACATTGCCTCGTTATTCGTGAGGTAGAAGCCGCGGAGCAATGAACTGAACGCATAGTGGCTCAAAATACTGAGATTTGTGTTTGGAATTGTTTACATCAGAATTACTATGACACGCCTCTAGCGCATCACAGGACACCTCGTATCTCTTCCTCGCAAACGACACTGACGCACGTTGACATGAAGCAGACACGCTGCTCGTGGATGGTGTTTGGGCTCATTACCAAATGCTTGCAAACAGAATAAGACTTCGGACTCAGTTGTGAACTTACAATTCCGAGAGCACGTCCCTCCTCCCTCACCAGAGAGTCCCAGAGCTGGAGTCGACACACTTGTGTCAAGACCATGCATGCACACATAAGGACTGTCTGTTCTCATCTTCGACACCTCCACTCATTCAGTCCCTCGCACCGCTCTTATGTAACAACGCTGAAATCCACTGCTTGGGTACCCGCGCTCAAGCAGCATGTTGCCGCAAACTCAACCGCTCTCACTCTTCTTACATAGAGAGAGACACGGACATGCAGACACACACACACACACACACACACACACACACACACACACTCTCACACTCACATTCACAGCTACGTACCCAGGGACAGTCTTCATCTGTGCCGGCACTCCATCTTGCCTGCTCTCACGTCCTCTGTCTCTCATTCACTGAGGAGCATGCAGAGCAGCTTTGAGTCAATATATCCCTCTGTACCCTTTCTCTCTCCCTCTCTCTCTCTCTCTCTCTCCCTCCCTCCCTCCCTCTCCCTCTCTCACATTCTCGCCCTGTGTCTGTGCTCTCCTCCTCTCCTCTCCTCTGTCCCTCCCTCTTTCTCTTCTCCAGTAGTTGTGACGTATGTGGTTAAAATCCGCGTCAGTCCTTTGCAGACTGTGCATGCCGTCGGTCACTTTCTCAGCAGCGGGGGGGGGGGATTTAAGGAAAACCCGGGGAACGGCAGCATGAGTGTGTGCGTGTGGGCGTGCATGAGTTAAAACCCATTTATATTTTATAGTTTTATATATATATATATATATGGCCGTGCAAAGATTGAAAACTAAAAAAAAGATCCAATAGCTGAAGAACAGAGAGAGGAAATTAAATGAAACGGGTTGACGGTGCTGACTTCATGCACTTGCACTGCCAGATGAGTTTGTGTTGGCTATGAATAGGCTACTGCACACAAGTATATGAGTGTGTGTGTGTGTGTGTGTGTGTGTGTGTGTGTGTGTGTCTGTGTGTGTGTGTGCGTGTATGTGTGCCCTTTGTCTGTTGGTGTCCATCAGTAGCATCCTTCGCGGTCGACACCTCCCCCAGTGATGACATTAATCAAAGCAGCAATACTCCAATAGCCACAGTAACAGTGTGCAAGCAATACAATCACCTGGCTGCAAGGGATGAATGAGGTGTGAGGGTTTTAAAGTTTTAAAGACTTTGTTGCTTAATGACATTTGCTTGAAGACAGGATTTTAAACCAATGACATGTTTCAATCTGCAACAAAAACATCACTTCCGTTTGGAGTCTCAGAGATCTCACCTGTAAAACCTTGTGGTACACAATGTATTTAGATATTATCTCACTGGGATTGATGCTGACTGGAGTTTATTTACACGTGCCCCCACCAACTCTCAAATAATTCCATTCTAACTATTATAACAGTTTTGCATCGAGGCGTTTAACCTGACTCTGAACATTAAAATCCCTTTGGAGGATGTAGATGACTTGGTTTGTGAATTCATTTTTGAAAAACACAGGATATTTGTACATGAATAGTTCATATACTATATGTTAGTGTTAGTCAGGGGAAGGGCTATCACTATAAGTTGTTTACACATTAGTGTGGAATTAAATACGAGGAGAAGCATGTCTGAATTTAAAAATGGGGTCTAATCTAAAACAAAGAGGAAATAAGGCTAAATTAAAACAGCGCTGAGGGGAGAATAAACTTTAAGGATAGACTAGAGATAAAAGAAAGAAATGATCAAAGGATTGGACAAGGAGATAAAAATGAAAGTGAGAAATGAATTTTAGATTAGATTTAGTTGGTTCACGTCAAATGCCAGAGACTTCAAAAACGTGATGGAATATCAGTTCATTGACAAAGTGCTGTCTGGGAAACAATCAGCACACTAATTGATAACTATGGGATTTTCCACGGCCGATAAGTAACAGATGAACAACATCAAGCCTGTTCAATTAGATTAATGAAGAAGTAGAGAGAATGCATGTGGAAGCGTACGCTCGTCCATTTGTAAACATTTTGAGTTACTGTGCACCTTATTACTACCAGCTCATCAATATTGTGTTAAGGGACCGTTGCACGTATTAATTTGCGGAAAGAACATGGGGACTAAATGAGCTGAAATGAGATAAATGAAAGCTCACCCTACCAATGCTAAAACCATCTATCTCCCGCTAAGTACGCGCTTTAGATGTGAGCTGCGCGCTTTAGGTGGCTTGAAATGAACGCAGACGCGCTCGTCTCAGACTACAGAGCAGCTCGTCTCTTTGGTGGGAAAAAAAGAAAAAAAGCACACATGTGCAACTGTGCAATGGGTTGGGCCTTACTCCACCCACAGCAGCAGTTATCAGCCAACTGCAGAGCACTCACAGCTGACCTGCTGAGCACCAAAACTCTCAGATGCTCTCCGTGCAGCATGGCACACCAAGGGACGTGCTCTACGCCCAGAGAGCCGGCAGTCTCTGCATGTTCAGGTCACGAGTGATTTATACTGGATCGCTGTTTTCTGATGTACTTGTGCAGGGTTGGTTTAACAAATCGGAGAAATATCCCCTGGGAGATGTCATGCTGGGGTCATAGCCCCCCGCCGAGGTTGTGTCTGCCGTGGAATTTATTGGGTTTGGCAACCGCGGGAGCTGATGCAAATCAAAATAGATGTAAATAAAAGTTTTAAAAAACGTTGTAAAGGGAACTTTTTTTTCTGGGAGTAAATTGGCACAAGCTGTGGGAGAAATTGAGCAAAATGCAATTTGCAATTGCAAAATGCAATTTGTTTTAAAACGCAACATATGGGGAAAGGAAATCATACCAAGCAAGAATCCAACAGCATAAGCACTGAGTATCTTTTTACACAGGTATGTTGTCTGAATGGAAAGATGACATTATAAAGCACAACTTGATGATGTGGTCACTTCGGTAATAAGTGCATCCAACAGGCATACTACTTTAAAATACTTCATACTTTGGCTTTTCATTCACAGCTCACCAAACCACGTGGATTTGTCTTGTCTTAAGCATGTGGAGGGCAGTTTTGAGGATGAAGCACAATCAATTGTGCTTGAAGAATGAAGTCTGGACAATGGCACTGCAGTATTGATCTTTCACAGGGTTACACATTAGACAGCCTGTCAACACAGTGGCATTGCCCATGAGCTGACAAAAGTAAATCATAGTCAGTAGCATTCAAAGCTAGAATGTGTGAGATTCACACCAGCAGAATGACGTCTGATGACGAAGAAGTGCAGATGAGAGCTGGTGAATTCAAAGTGTTAATGACACAACTGCAATGTGTGCAAAACCAAATAACAACCTTCCTCAGCGACAAATCACAGGCTAAAAGAAAAAAGAACCATCCAGCTGCAAAACGTCCTTCAGCCTCCTTAACAGTGTGATTAAAGCATTCACGGGATGAAATTAATAATAAACATCTCGAGTGAGGGAGATTTGAGGGAAGGAGGGAGAGCGTACGGCCAATTTGTGGAGGAGCATTCATCCAGTCCTTCTGCATGCCAAGATAATCTCCTCCCATTACTACAGCACAAGGCAGTGCAGGTTTTCCATTTAGTGTACAACCACAACCTCCCCAGCCTCTCAGGCAGCCATTAGCTCTCGGATCAAATAAACCTTGATTTGCATACAGAATAGCACAAACACATGCAGAATTTTTCAACATTTTCAGCAGCACACAGTATGCGGAAAATGCATATATTTTCCGATAAAGATCAAAAAGGAACCGCTCACCCTATCCTACACTTGCCCTTGAAGGTATATGCAGACATATCTTGAATTCCACAGTTCCATCCACGTTTCTGTGCAGAGTGGGTGATGTAAGATGCTGTATGCTGTAAGGTTTTACTGGAACAATATGCGCATAGACTGGCGTAGTTGATATAAAGATATTAGCAAAAAAAGGCACTTCTTCGAGTATGGAGGAGATGTCTCACAGGATGTTCCAATCCATCTGACTGAAAATGCTGCAAATTCATACAAAGTGGAATAGATTTATACAATAATGGGAAGTAAATGTTTTCCACATTGTTTTTCAGAATCTTTAATTACATAATCTTGTTGCTCCCTCTGCAGGGGTTCATTGGCCTCAGGCGGTAGCTTCCTATACAGTAAAGGATGGATGGGCACTTGTTCTAGAAAGTCAATTATAACTTGTAATACGATTGAATGGAAATTTCTCAGCAGGTGTTGGAAAAAACCTTGACTCAAGGTCAAGTGAGAATCAATGCTGACATTGACAGGTAAGGGTAGGGCTGTGTCTGTGTCAAGCTATACGTGGTGTTAAAGTAGAAAAGCAACATACCCTTGTCAGTAACACAGCCGTATTACTGAAGTTAGCTAATGTTAGCAACTTTAAGCAACGAAAGTCCTAACTGTATTGAAATATGCTGCATTCACATGGAACAAAAAAACATCTTAATAAAATGGCAGGACCACAAAACTGAACCCCTATTTGAGACACACTCAGGCTTAGAAGGGAATTTCAGAGGTTCCTTTTCGTGAGCAATGCTTTCCAGCTCTCCCTGAGGAACCCCGAGGTGTTCCGAGGTCTGGACATAATCTCCAAAGCAGCTCTAGGTCTACCCTCGGGGCCTCTAACCAGTTGAACATGACCGGGAAACGGAGATGGGCAGTATTTCTATTACTTGTATTTCAAATACGTGTTTCAATTACTTTTTATCAGGCTATTTTGTAATTTCTATTTGAACATATATATATATGTATATGTATATATGTGTATTCCTACCCTGGCAGGGGAGCTCATTTTGGCTCCTTGTATCTGATATCTCACAAAAAACAAAGCTCACGACCACAGGTGAGGGTTGGAATGTAGATTAACTGATTATTCCTCATCACATCCTCACCCGTGCAACACCTGCAGCAGTGCTGGCGTGCACAAAACCGTCTGTCCATCTCATGCTCAATTTTAGACCCCTTGAAACTCAAACGACTTGACTCGCTTGCGTCAGCGCCTCTCTACCCCCCCGCAGGGTACGAATGCCCTCAGACTCGGTTGTTCGCCGTCTGTAAGCGCGTGCTGAAGGTCACTTTCTGAAGGATCAGACCAAACTACAACTATCCGCCAAGTGCAGTGACGAAAATTTCAGAGGTCTTCAAAATCGGACAGTCTCCGCCTCCTGGCCTGCGCCTTGAGCTCCTGTCCATGAAAGTTACAAACATGATCGGCGACATGAAGTTACAGGCCTGGCGAAGGACAACACATGCCGCTAACGTGTTTGAGCACACCGATGTGAAGAACGTTTTCCTTAGTAGTATACATGGCAAAGAATCAACGTAATGCTCATTGGTTGTAAATTCCATCACAGAACGAAGAAAAAGTAAATTAAATACTATACCTTTACCATTAGTATTCTCTACCGACTTGCTTTTATGTTCCAACAAAAAGTGGATCTTGTTTGCCCTCTTTCATCTGCACATGTGAGTGCAGCATCAGGCATGTGTGCTTTTTATTTGAGGATAAATGTGTAATTTCTCCCTTTAGA